GGGGCTCAGTCTGAACTGATGCCGGGGAAACGGACTTAAGTCCGTCGTGAACTATTTTGGTGTATCGGGGAAGGTATATGCAGGACATCACAGTGAAGGACCCCTGAAACGCGGAAAGAAGATATTGAAGCGCGATAATATTTTTGTAGTTTCGAGCTGCAGAGGTTTACAGAGTGACTGGCGCCGCGCGCTTACGTTTTAGGCCTGCAGAGGCAGGATCATGCTACGGACACACCACTACTTTGCAGCTCATTGCTACCAAACATAGTCACCCGTGCAACCAACCATGGAATGTACCTGTCAAACACGCCATACATACATATATACTTCGTGCAATCTCGTACAGAAAAACCCTGCAAAGTACAACACTTGAAAAAATATCAACCCAATGCCTGCATACATACCGCATGCGTCTTGTACCGCCTTCCCCCTCACTCTAAATCCACACAACAACACCTGCCAATACCAATCGCCAATGCGTCCACACCTCACCAACATACAAATATAATTGAACAGATAAACAAACATACAAACAGAGCCATCACGGCCGCTTGCGCATGTACTCTATCGCACTATTCATCCACGGCCTCAGAAGAGCAACGACCCCACGTCTGTGTTTCAGACTGCTCCGATGGGCATCCGTCCCTTCACTCGTCATGGCCGACATGTAGCAAAACAACCCTCAAGATGTCCTTAAACTCCCCCCTCCTCAAGCAGCTCATAGAAGGGCACCACCGCCACCAGGCGCCCTGATGCAGCCGCCCGGCGCTGTAGCCTCTTCAAGCGCCAGCCTGTGCTCGGTCGCAGGGCCGCCTACGGGCGGCACGGCAAAAACGGGAGGATAAAAGCGTATCAATATCGTCGATAATTTGTCTTACCATATTATGATTGTTGCAATGGCCGCAACGAGTTTGCATACGCGGCCATCGGATCGGGAGCGGTGCGGGAGATGGGCCTGATGAAAATCCTGCACACGTGTGAAAAACCTGGAGCGGATGGCTGGTCAGCTGGCTGGCTGATCCTCACGAGGCAGTTCCCCCCCGCGGTGTGGTGTGCAGTGTGCTGCTGCAGTGTGTAGTGTGCGGTATGGTGTTCCTGGAAATACCACCACCATGCCATGCCACACCAGCAAGGATGGGCCCATCTGCTCCACCTCACCAGGCCCACATGGCCCTTGTCAGTCGTACAGTACACCACGCATAAAACACCCCAACATATAGCTAGGTTGGCTGGCTGGCCTGCCATGACAGGAGCCTACGCGGTGGTGGTGTTACCTGCAGCACCTTGGTTGTATGCACCAACGATGGCCGCGACCCGACAGTTGCTCGCAACCATCTTGCAAACTCCAGCAACCGCGGACCGACCCCTGAGTTCCCCATCTTCCTGGACACTGCTGGAAATGGCATTACTTCCACGCACACCCCAGCCGATGATTTACTCTGCTGCTGCTGTTGTCGTGGCTGCTGCGGATTCCTTTGAGTCAAGTTATGAGGTCCATCCTTCGTGGGGCTCTGTTCCGGAGACAGTCCGCTTGGCGGGCTTCGGTCTCGTAGCTCGTACTTGAAATCCCACGGCGCCAAGATACACACGTACAGCAGATCCCCGGACTTGTCCCCCAATGGGCCCCGAATGGCAGAAGGGCTGCAAACAGAATCCCCGTCGACGGCCAGTGGCACCAACGGCGGAGGCTTTCCTGCTGCCGCCATGGCCATCAGCACGGCCGCCGTCACTTCTACAGCCGCAGAAACAGCCGCGCATTGCGTTGCCTCTGTTGCTACTGTTGGCGTTGCATCAGCTGTTATTGCCGCGGCGGACACAGCCAAACCTCCTGTTGCGTGTTGGAAAGGCGCCGGCGAGGCTGCAAACCCTGCGAGGATGTGCCCACCATCCCGGGGAAACGGGCATTCTGCCATGCCAGCCGGGTGCCAGTATGATACAATATCGTACATCGAGTAAGACTCGTCTATGACAGCGGTACGGCAGATGAGGCCGTGGCGCTGAAGGGCTTCTGCTAACGCAGAGCTGAAGGGCGCTGCGGAGCGTTTATGCAATTGGTCCTGCGGGTGGAGGAGCCTGGGGTCCTGCGACCCCCATGGGCTCCCTAATGTTGGCCCGAGCAACCCCTCTGGTCCAGGACCCGCTTCGAGCGGCCCTGCCCCTCCCGTAATAATGGGGCCCCCGTAGCCGACGAAGCCACTGCTAACTGCACTGCTGCTGCCTGCTGCTATTGTTGTTTCTCCCAACATGGGGTTTCTGTGCATCGCGACCTGGGAAAGGTCCATGCACTGCGATGGAGCCTGCCGCTGCTGTTGTTGCTGGAGGGTATTTAATTTCAATTTTGTTTCCTGATGCCCACCCTGCCACTCGCCGCGCGACTGCTTTTGGACCCCGTGGAGCTGCTCTTCATGTTCTCGCTGCATCGCTTGCTCTCCCTGCTTCTGCTGCTCCTGTTGCTGCTGCTCCCGACGGCGTTGCGCCTGGTAGGCCCGTACACGCTCCCAGGGAACTGATTCAAGGTTCGTGAGCATGCGCGTCACCTGGATGTTCTGTAGCGCCTGCCGTACCGCTGGTGGATACGACGCCTCGCCGCTTCCACCGCCGCTTCCGCCGCTACTGGAACCGTCGGTGCTGCCCATACCCCGGGCCGCACCAGGCCGGGCACCGGCAGTGCACACCACTCGTAGCGTGCCGTCCAGAATACCCTCGTCGTACGCACGTATAATACCAGAAATGCTGCCGTACCGTGCCAGGAGCTTCTTAGAGGCTCGGCTGCCGAGACCCACGCCTGGTACCCCCGCCTCTGCCTTGCCCACGAGCGCCAAAAAATCCGGATATGCAGCCGGCGGCAGTAGCGTCGCCTGCTGCTGCTGCTGCTGCGCCACCGCGTCACCTGCGCAATTTTTCCGCAACGCAGCGCTTTCCGCCATGGGCTTCTCCCCACCCATGGAGCCCCGAGACCCACAGCAGCTGACTTCCACAGCAGGGTCAGCAGCGGCGGTAGTAATAGCAGCAGTAGTAGCAGCGGTAGTAGCAGCAGTAGTAGCAGCAGTAGTATCAGTAGCCACAGCTGCTTCATGTAGCCTGATGAGCGAGTCGGGAAGTCCTGGCAGTGCGGGGCTCACCCGCACCGCCAGCGGCGACGCCTCCTGTGGGCTCGAGGCGCTGCTAAGCTGCCTGACCTCCAGCCAGCAGCAGCCGGGGTAGGCCAACAGCTGCAACATGTCCGAATCAGCGCTAATGACCACCACCCGCGGGAGGGGATCTGTGGGCCTGGCTGAGATTGACGATGAAGAAGAGGGAGGGGAAGGCGATGGGAAGGAGGACGAGGCGGCCGCAGCGGTGCTGGCAATACGGCCGCCTGCCGTGTCTTCAGAGCCCCCAGCCTGGATCTAGGTGTGGGTGGGTGGGGGTGTCGTGGCCCGACCGGGAGTGGGAAGTGGGAAAGCATGGATAAGCGGATGCAAGTATCCCCGGCTGCGGAACTCTAGCTGTGGACCACCAAACTAGCACATTCACAACAACAACCACCTTCATCCCCGTCGGTTTTCAATCACGTTCAGGACAGGCCCCCCGTGTTACCCAAAGGGTTCACATTCGCCATTTTCCCAGAACCCCCAGCCACAAGCTTCCTGTGCCTATACCACACCGCGGATGCTGCAACCAGCGCAGCGAAGCACCCCACGTCCCCACCCCACCCGTGCTCACACACCTCACCGGGGGCAAGGGAAGGAGCCCGGCCACTAGGGAGGCAATCAGGTCGTCTGCCTCGTGCCCAGGCAAGCCGTACAGCGCTAGCCCGCCGACTTGCCGTACAACCTGGACAAAGCCGGCGAGGTGCGGCGGTGGCTTGTCCATGAGCGCCTCGCAGGACTTCCTCAGTTGCGTTGTGTCATGCAGCTGCTGGGTTCTTGAAGGTACGGCACCTAAGGCGCAGCGCCATCCGGGGTGTACGGTGGAGGGTGGAATGACCCCGAGGGCGAAGAATGGTGTCCCCAAACGTTTTGGGAGACGGGGGAGAGATGCAGCCACAAAGCAGTGACACCAAGAACCGCTTGCTCGCTCGTTTTACTTCGAACCGACAGCACGACAGCCGAAGCAAAGCAGGAAAAACCAAGTGGGCCAGTGCCCCGTTTTGTGGTGGTCGCAAGCTCAGAACTCGGGCTGTTTCCCTGGTAGGATTTAAGAGAGTGACAGAGGAGGGCTTAGGCCTGACCACGAGGCTCTACCAGGCCTGCGACCGTTTGGTGGTGCGCAGCTGTGCAAAGGCCGTCAGTCTGTCATACCTGTCGTGTTGTGAAGAGCGGCCTTTTGGCTATCCTGGCCAGCAATGCGGCTGCGGCGGCTCCCGCTCTGCGATTCTTGCTGCTGTTGTTGCTTGCGCGTCAGCTTGGCATGGCGGCTTTTGAGGTAGTTCGGGGAGAAGATGCGGCGGATATCCGGCACGTGGGGGTGGGAGCGACTGCCCCGTTTGTTGTCAAACACGACGTAAAGCTGCTGGCATGAGGTGAGATGCAATAGAAACCTTAGCCAGGTGGCAAATGCGTCAACATGACTAACTTCAAAGCCGCTATCGCCGAGAGCAAGCAGCAGGAGGTTCGTGCCGTCGACGACGGCGGCGTTGACGATGCCATGCCCCTGCGGCTTGTCCCAAGCAATGGCGTCCGGTGCTTGCGCTACGTTGCCAGGAAGAGTTCTATATGCAGTGCCATGCGAGGTGCAGGTTAAGACCTGCGTACTTTCGTGCATTTCCCTCGCGCGAGCAGGAGGGCCAGACCCAGCATTTTGTAAAGCGCTTGCTTTCCCCAATACAGTGTTCGACGTTTTTGGCGTCGAAGAGCTACGACACGAAGACCACTTCAGTAATCTGCATATTAATACAGCACTCCGTTGAGATGAGAGTGCTCGCTGGTATGAAAACTTATGATGCATTCCTCTATAGGAATCCGCTACTGCAGCTGTGAGCACTAGTGGCGTTGGACATGTTAAGCAATTCGGTTGGATTTGAGCAAACAGCTCTACGACGCTACTGGCGCCGGACACGGTTTCCATCACATGCAAAAAATAGCTTTTACGTGAGCAAACATCTGCGTACAAGGCATGGCTACGCAAACTCCAACCCCTGCTGGCATACAATCGCCGTGTTTTTTTGGGTGTCCGCATATAGACACTTGACCCACAATTTTTTCATTCAGCTCACACGTATTATAATTTTGGGCAGCAGTCTTATCCAGATAGTGGCGATGGCTAAGGGCAAATATCGTTGCGTCCCGGCGAATTCTCTACCTGCTATCGCTCTTCTACTTGGATGTCTTGCAGCCTGGCCCACACATGGCGGCGTGTTACCCTCGGATACATCATCAGCATCAATGTTTCGTGACCTTCCATCTGGCAGGAAAACCCGCACAAGCTTGACTGAAGTCGTATCGCCGCGCATCGATAATGTCCTATCCGCGTCACCCCTATTCGAGCAAGCCTTCACCTCCACCTTTGATAGTAAGGACCCAGAACAATTATCTCGCACTCTGTCACAATACGTGCGTCTGATGAGCTGGGTTGAGCAGACACCGCAGCTGAATGACACACAATTGGCTTTTCTGCCGGAGTTCGGCAGCTCCGCGGCCTTAGAAATCGTCCACGCGGCAGCCAAGCTCTCCCGAGGAAACGACAATAGCAACAAACCGGACCTGGACGACCTGGTAGGTGAACTGAAGGACATCGGCTCAAAGCTGCTTGCCGCATCCGCGACGTCGCCATGGCGCGGCTTCCCCGCCACGCGCCGCATCCTGCTGGGTGCCATCCTCCAGAAGCGTCTCGACTTTGGTGGGCGATTCCCTCCAGACGTCGAAGCCGCTGTTGACGCGCTGCTGGTACAACTCTTCCAGCTGCATAAGGCCTCCGCCGCGGCACGTGGGGCGGTACAATTCTTCCACATCTCCAAATCGGGTGGCACCAACCTTTGCCAGGCCGCCGGCGCCAACGGCTGCGCGTCCCAGGGCTTCGACACGCGCACCAACTGTCTCATTCGCGACTTTGCCGACCAGCCACGCTGGGTGTCGTACAACGCCCACAAGTTTCTGCAGTACCGGATGTCCTCGCGACAGGGCCTGCCCTGGTTTGTTAACTTTCACAGCTTCCGACCGCCGTACACCTGCGAGCAGCGCCGCGCCTACCTCCTCCGGGACGGCCTTACCTTCTATGCCAACGAGTACACCAACCCGCCCTTTGCCGCTGTCGAGACCACAACTGCCGCAACCACCACGACCTCCGAAACCGCCACCTCATCCAACACTTCTACTGCTACTGCTACAACAGCAGCAGCAACGACGGCCCCCAGCGGCAGCGTGATCGCGACTGCCGCTTCCGCTGTCATGGCCTCGGCAGCTGTGCCATCCAGCCGTATGTGCGAGAAAGAGTTTGTGAACCTGCTAATGATGCGTCATCCCCACGACCGGCTCCGCTCCCAAATCGGCTGGGTCCAAAAGCTCTACAAAGAGTACTATCTCGATGTAGACACACAGCCCGCCTTCCTCAACCGCACTTGCGGCTTTTGGGAGCGACTCATGCCGGCAGCCGTCAACAACTATTACATCCGCAGCCTGCTGGGCTCGCGTTTCTTTGAATTTCCAGTTTTGGAAATTATGCCGCAACACGTCGCGCTGGCAAAGCTGGCGGTGCTGCAGCACGATATCCTCCTAGTGTTGGAGGATAAAGCCCGTAACGAAATGGCGCTGCGGCTTGGGCTCGGCTGGGCGACAGCAGGCCTGCGTGACGATGCGGTGCGCAGCTCGTCTGAGCTAGGCGATGAGGTGGCCTTGCCGCTTGATTACTCGGCGCTGCAGGCGCGAAATATGCCAGATGTGGAGCTGTACGGCTTTGCTCGGGAGATGCAGGCGCTTGATGCACTATTGTGGAATTTCGTTGCTGCAGCGGACGCGCGATTAGACGACATGCTTGTCGGCAGCAATGGCAGTGACGCGGGTGAGGGTGGTGAGGCAGCAGTGCGGTGTGGCTATGTGTCCATGGGTTCGACTGAGGCGGTGGCAGCGCTGCAGGACCAGCTGAGCGGGGTGGAGGTCCCGCCGAAAATGACGATGGCGGCTGGAGCGGCTGCTGCCGCCGCGCTTGCAGCGCCGCCGACGGGTTCCGCTGCTACGGATGCCGCTGCTTCTTCTACGGCTTCTTCCCTTGGTCGTAACAGCGGTGTCAGCAGCGCGCACTTCAACAGCTCCGCTCTCTTGCCTCTGGGGCCTGAGCGCCGCATGCGGGGCGGCGCTGGTGGGAGAGGCCCTTCAGTTGTGTCTATTAACCGTCGCAACGGCCGCCGGTTATTGCGGCTGAAAACGCTGCAGGGATGGGTGCGACATCGCAAGCAGGAGCGGCAGCCCACGTCGCAGTAGCTGTAAAACCCTATGAATGATAGTAGCAGGTGGAGGGGTGCTTCCACATCCCTACCGTCTCCTTCCTCTGCCTTCCAGCTGCCCTCTACAGGCGATCGTGGGAAGGTGAGGGACGGCGGGTAGGGGGAATAAGGCAAATGGTTCTATGGACCTTGGCGACGGAACTGGCAGGGCGTGCCGGGTATTGGCAGCGGTATTGTTGGGCCGCGCAGGGGTGCCACAGGAAGTACTGTTTGAATCGCGGGAGGCACTGGACTGAATGACTGCTGCCTGGTTGTTGGCATTCCTACGTTTCGGACGCATGGTGCTCAATAACCTGTCTTGGAGGCACCTTGCCAGCCTGGTGGCTGGTGGGATGGGGTGTGTGGGGTTAGACGGAGACAGCAGGACCGCTGGCGGTTCGCTGGGAAGGAGGGAGGCGGGACGGGAGCATACGGAGTGCAACAGCCATTTGGCGCCTGCAGACCGTTGGGGTTTCACGGTTTTAGAACGCTGGAGGTAGCTCCCCAGCTGTAGCAGCATTGCCGCATTAAAGGTATGCTTTCTAGCAATTGCAGTTTATTGGCGTTTAGTTTCCTTGCTTAGAATTTATTGAGTAGAGTTTAACTGTATTGGTAATTGGAGGTCTTGGTAGTGCTGAACTACTATGTAGTCACATGTCATGACAATGAAAATGGCGCGGTGGGGCTGGTTTAGGATGGTAAACGATTTTGTTAGGGGGCTGTCGCCAGCGCTCCGTCACCAGCTTTGTTTGCGTGAGGCCCCTGCTGCGTGTCTTGTCCCAGTAGGTGTCGGGAAAGTGGTTGCGGTTGCGGCTGGTGGTTGCCAGGTAACGGTAGCACAGTTAGGCCTGAGGTACAGGCAGCAGTTAGTTAGTACGTCAGCCAGTTCTGGTGGGGGTACGTGGACAAGGGCTCTCTCATCGTGTGCTTGATTACGGCGACTGCAGGTGCTTGCAGGGAATGAGCTCGCAACCTTCAAATCCAACACTGGCAGATAGATGTTCTCGATGTGTGTACACTTCTGCCACCTCTAATTTTTGAGAGAAACGTAGAGACGTAAGAGCTGCTACAATGACGTCCCGGAGCTCTGCTTCATTCCCGGGTTGGCTTTGCACGCGCGGCGAACTGTCCATGATGATATGATGTTCGCCGAGGGTCAAGGGCGTCAGGCCAGGACATGAGATATGGTCCATTAACACATCCACATAGTTAACGACTGGGGGGGGAGTGCCGCTAAATAGTGCAGGTCTCGTTCACGCGTACGACGTGTACAGCAGTTGGGCGTACAGCGGGTTGATGTAAGGTGGATTGGGCTGCTGGCCTTGCGTATACCTACATACATTCATACACGTACGTTTTGGCTGTTGGATGCCCCGGTGTCTAGTAGTAATTCTCCTTTAACGATGCCCTATTTAGTTCTGTTCAATATTTTTCATTCGCTGGTAGGTCTCTTTCATTGTTCAGCTCCCGACCGCCTGAACGACGCAGGCAATAGTGCGTGTGCTAGCTTTTTACCCCATGGAAATGCAAATAGTGGTGCGCTGGGCTACAAACCCGCAAGTCGTACGATTCCGTACGGATGACTTTTGTGCGGACGGCAGCTGGGAAGGTGAGGGAGCTTAGCAGCTGACAGGAACCGTTACTTTCTTGCTGATGGAATAAACGATGCCGGCTGAGATGAACTGATGTGAGCTGTTACAGGACAGCTGTAGATATGGACACGTCAAATGACAAGTGAAGTGACAGCCAGGTGCTGTTTTCGAAAATTCGGCAACACAGCCGTCATAGCAGTGAACATAGAAGCGCTGGTTTGTCCGTCTGTCCGTATATCCGCTGTAAGAGGTGGTGTGCATGCCTCCACGTCTTGGTCGGGTGCGGTCCAGTCTTCCACGCAAGGCGAGACGCGCGCGCGGCGACACGCTTCTGCGTCTCGTGCGTGCGTCAATGGGAGTATATTTGTATATTATGCGTAGTATTCTTGGCAAGGACAGGACAACGCCAAGTTGCCTGGTGTATGGAGTTGTCGGATTCTCCGGACCTAAGGGGCTTGTGTTCTCCTAAGCAAGATGAGGCACAGCAACGCAGTAAGCATCTGTGGGGGTTTCTGTGAGTTCACGTGGTGGTGTGGGGTTGTTTGTTTGTAGGGTTGGGTGGCAGCGGTAATGGTATCAGATGGCAAGCTGCAAGCGTAATGTTCGGGCGGCTGCCCAGCGGCAAATGTACAGGATTTTTATTTACGTACACACAACACCTAGTACATGAAGATGCATACGTATGTATGTAGGTACACGTGTAAGGCCATCTGGTAATGCTGTACGGCTGACGATGCCTAGTTGTCATTGTGTGCTGTCTTCAACAAATTTACGGGACTCGTTGCAACATAGCAATGCTTACAATTGCAAGAGACATAGGTAAAGTACATACACAAGACGCACAAGGGAAACAGAGCTCCAGATTGAAACACACACAGACACATGCATCACCATGACGAGCTTTTGACATCACTCTTCTAACCAATTTAAATGAAAATACAGGCTACGCCTATGGCTTCGTTGGAAAGTCCTAACATGTCTACAGACACAAAAAAACCCGACATCGCCCATTTCTACTGCAGAAGATGTCATCGCCACCAACACAGGCTCTCAACCATTACCTCCTCCCCTCCTGCACAGCTCCTTTCCGCCCCGACACTTCCATTCCCTTGGGTCCCCCTCGCCGGGCCCCCTTCATGCGCCCGCTTGTGCTTGTGCCGCTCTGAGCTGCTTGATTGCCTCCACAGTCACCTACACCTCACACGAGAAAGGGAGTGTGCTGCTAAGAGTTTCTGAAGGATTTATCTCAACTGGAGAAAGAATAGTAACAGTATTTTTTCTTCTTCAAAAAAATCCGGTTTTTAGCGTTTTCCGGATTTTTGAGAAGCAAGTAAACCAGATACAGCTCCTAATCTTAGGCAAAAGAAAGAATTACTGAATAAGGGTGACCAATGTAAATGATGGTTAAATCTTGCCGCGGGGGAGCCCAGTGTCGGGACGACGCGGGAAGACATGTCATGACGGCACAGGACACGATATGACATCAGAAACCCTAAAACCCCCATCCCACCTGAAACTGCTTGGCAGTCAGGCCCTGCACCGCCACCAACAGCGCCTGGGTGTCCCTCAGCTGGCCACGTAGCACCTCCTGCTCCGAAGCCAGTCGTACAAGTACGGCAGAGTGGTCCGCAGCGGCGGTTTGCAGCTGCGAAAAGGTGAACACAACACCGCCATCCGGATTGGTCAGCACAACACAGCACAGCATGTAGTGAGCGAGTGAGTGAGGCCACTCGGATAAACTCCGGCGTCTGAACTGCCGTACCGCACAGCGGTGTGTCGTGATGTACGAGAGGTTGGTGGGGGCATTGAGCCCCCGTTTGTGTTCGCGATGCTGCGAAGGACGGTGTGTCACACATATAACCAATACGAGCACGTGTATGCATGTATGTAAGCATGTATGCACGTGTATATGTATGTATGCAGCAAGTCACTTCTTCGATAGCTCCGGTACACCGTCAGCTGAGCTGCGTTTTGTAGTTACCTCCCATGTATAGCACTGGACAACAGATTCAAGTTCAAGTCTGTCTGTCTGGCCTGGGTTCTTCCTTCCCCTTCCGCCGCTTTCTTCTTCCACCAACCAACCCCAACCGAATATCTATTCGGGTTTTTGGACCCTTTTCTTTTTCCCGCATCCCCCTCCCCTCTCTCCCGCCCACATCTACCTGCGCCAGGGGCCTCCGAATGTCGCCTCCGGTTAGTCGCGTCCGCACCTGGGGAAGCCATCGTGGGGGGGGGAGAGGGAGGCGGCCGCCAGGGCCGTGGAGGAAGGCGTGTTGGTGTGTGGGATCGGGGAGGGTGGAGTGAGAAGGGGAGGGAGGAGGCACGGGAGGCGAAACGTGAATTATGAGGCTACACACGTGCCGGTGGTTGTCAGCCCCCCTAGGCTAATCGGCACTCTCAATCACCCCCCACCCCCCTCGCGGTGGCCCCCTCGGAAATTGCCCTTCCACTCCTCGCGGGTGCACTCGCCTATGACCTCCTAACTATGCCACCCTTTCTCTTGCCTGGAGTGTGAATTGGGAGTGTGAATTGGCCGGATGGGTGGCGGCGCTCGGCCTCCCGCTACCCACTCGATGGGGGATGAATCCCTCACCTGCAGTTTATCAATTTGTCGTACTGCCGTACTGAACTCGGCCAGTTGCTTGTCCGTGAGTGCCTCCAGTCGCGCCAACCTGGCCGCCGCCTCCGCGGATGCGACAGCCCCTGAAGCCGGTCCTGCCGCCGCTGCTGCCGCCCGACTGCGATTGACTCGACCGATTGGTTTAAAATGGTGGTTGGGGATGCGGCAGGTCGATAAGCCACGTGTCGATACGCACGTGCAGACAGTGAGCAGACTTAAATACAATATTCACAAGGAGTGTTCGCGAAATATGGTGGGTTTGGCAGCGGCTAGGCCCAACCTTTGCTATTCCCGCCCTCATAATGCGCGCCTGCCATAATTTATATACCCCCGAACTGAGCGCCTTCTCGCTCGCCCCGGCGACCAGCACCGGTCCTTCCGAGGCGCTCTCTCCCACACGGCCGCTCCCCCAGGGGGACACAACCTCCCCGCGCCTACCCATGCCACCACCTTCCCCTGGGGCCCCACGAGGGGGTGACCCACCCAGCTGCCCACATGACCGGCAGTGCATCGCAGGGAGGTACCAACCTGGAAACTGACACCTTGAACCAGGCATTACTTGCGGCCACAAGCAGGACACAGACCGCCAAGGCTTCGGCAGCCAATCCTGGAGCGCCAGCGTTTGCCAGTGTTAGTAGCGGCAGCAGTGGCGGCGGAGAAGGAGCGCAAACCGTCACTGCAGCCGCGGGCCGGCTGGGTTGCGCCGGCGCCGCGATGGTGGTGTTGGCGGCGGCCGTGGGTATGCTAGCATGGGGAGCGGCGGGCTGGGGGTTGACTGGTACTGGGCTCTGTTGCTGCTGTGAGGCCGCAGCGGATGACGCCTGTCGGTGTCGTACGGCAGACGAAGCTAGCAGGACGACGCAGCAGGCGGAGCAGGCAGCGTCCAGAAGGAGTGAGTGATGAAGAGTGGGGAGGCGGGGGAGGGCGTGCGGCGAGGTTGAGGATCGGCGACTAGATGCAGCGATCGTTGAGGTCCTTTGTTTGTGGGGCGTGCAGTGAACTGTGGGATTCGGCTGTCTGCTGGTTGGTGCACATGGTGCCGCAAGTTGGGCTCCGAGCGTTTGCATCGCGCGGCTGTCTGTGGATCGGAAGTACCCGACACCCAGTTATTGCCGCAGGCGCTGGTAATTTAAGGATTTAAGAGGCGAATGCATGAGAGGTCGCTTTGGTGTTAAGAGAAAGCTGGTTAGGGCGTTAGGACTCGTACGGGCAGACCCATGGGGGTGACGTAGCTCAGGTATCGTAATGCTCCAAATTTGCCTTTGGAAAGAGAACTCGAATTGGCTTGGGTTTAGCTTTCCGTTTATCAGGCAAAGCCCTATATTCCCGTACGATTAACCGTAACCTAATGCTCGTTTCCTTACACCCGAATCCTCCTTGATCTATCTTCTGAAGAAGGTGTATGGCTTATGATGTTGGTTAAGCTTCACTTAGGACTTGTTAACGCGTGCCTATTGAGCGGTTGAGCGTCAAGTAATAATTCTTTTAGACGCAAGCAGGCTTCCAATTTCGGTATCATGATCCTCTTACGATATGCGTAATGGTTACAGGCAGGGCTAGGAATTCATAAACAGATAGGTGAAGCAACGAATGGAATGGCCGGGGGCCCCACGAGTAGCGTTTGTCGTGGTCACAAAAGGTTTAGACTACCCGACTGCAGATGAACGCCGGCCATCTGGAGCTCGTTATACACGTGACGCAATTCGCGGCATGCTGCAGTTTATGGGGTGCAAGCCACGCCATGCCTACAAAGCTGCGCAACTTGTTTTCCAGAAGCTGGAGGCCTTTGCTTCAGATGGACGCAAATTCAGCTCCGGTAGTCGGCAGCTTTGGGGCGTTGGGCCGCATGACGAAGGCTCCGTGTATGTCACGATGCCGCGCTCTGAATTCTACGAGCTCGTGTGCAGCACGCTGACCGAGTACAATTACAAGTATGCTCCTTCCTCTGATGAGATAAAGGCAGCGTGCAGGTGCGGGTTCCCTTTCCGGCCTCCCGCACTGCGCAACACCCGCTACGATCCCCGAAATACGCGTCCACCTCTAAAGACGGGGCTGGATTTGCAACTCGTCCCAAACCATCAATCGCTTCCATCATTTTTCAATTACCCAATTTGCAATTTCGTCCCCCGTCCTATCCATTATCTGGGCTGTTGGCATCTGGCTTCAGCCTCAAGGAGCGACGCCGGCACATAATTGTGTTGCTGTGCGGCACGAGTGGTAGCGGCAAATCCACGCTGGCCTCAATTTTGGTGCGTTGCCGCTCTGGATCCGCGCCCCTGTGTGTTGGCCCGTGGCCGTGCCTGGCCCTAAACGACCGCCTGCTTAAGGTGCTGCTAATGCGGGCGTGGAGTGGGCCCGTGCTTAGCAATATGCCGTTGCTTTTGGCTGTTCACGTGAAACTGGTAGGGGGGTCCTCGTGGCTCATAAAGTGGGCGGCTTGGGCTCGTAACTCCTCTGTGCCTGGAGCTCGGAAGAAATCGATTGATGTGGATGGCAGCGGGGACCGGCGTCTCCCCAAAACGTTTATCAGCGAACAGCAGTAAGAGAGATAGAAAGGAAGGTCTCATTGAGGTCCCCGCGCAGCAGCACCTAGGAGGACGTCTTATTAGCCTCCCCCGCCCCGCGTTGCTTTTTACCCGCAGGCCAGCCGCCTAGGCATCTGCACCGTCTTGTCAACGGACAGTGTACGGCACATGATGCGCGGGTTCACAACCGCCGAGGAAACGCCACTGCTGTTTGCTTCCACTTACGAGGCTGGCGAGGCGCTGAGGAAGCAGCAGGCGCTCGATGAGGCGCGGATGCATCAAATGCTGCTGTTGCAACAACAGCTGAAGCAGGATATGTCTCACCCAGCACAGTCTCCTTTAGCCGAAAGCCCCGCAGCGGCGGTGCCACAGGCGCTTGACGGCGGTCGCGGCGGCGGCGCCACCGCTCCTGCTGCGGCACTACCGTTTCCGCCGCCGCAGCTTCCGACGGCAGGGCCATCCCCCCAGGGCCTTAGCGCGCATGACCTTGCCATCCGCGGCTATAAGGCCCAGTGCGAACTGATTTCGGAGCAGCTTGAGCAGCTGATCTCTGGTTTTGAGGCTCGGCGGCAGAGTCTTGTTGTGGAGGGTGTGCATCTGCATGTGGGTCTGGTGATGAGGCTGCTGCAGCGGCACCCCGGCCTGGTGCCCTTCTTGGTCTATATAAAGAGCGAGGGTGAGGCGCTGCCCGGCCCAGCTCCCCTGGCCCTCCCAATCCGCCCAACGTAATCGCCGCCTGCAGAAACAGTGCGACAGCACGTTTAGAATTAAGTAGACACCGGGACCGATGTACGTGGTTTGGCCTCCATCGCTTTACTTCGGGTGTCGATCGTTGATTTTCTATCGCGTCTGCATTTTTACATATGATTCCCTGCCCCTACACACACACTCACACACAGGCAAGCATGTGGAGCGCATGGCGGTTCGTGCCAAGTACATGACGTTGGACCCCAACAAGAACAAGTACGTCAAAAACATGCGCAACATTCGGTGGATCCAGGTAAGCGGTCTTCGGAAAGGGGGCTGCTTGGACGGCTCCTGTCCAAAGCTCCAAAAGCTTGTGTGCTTTTACTGAGAGCTGAGCCGGGGGTGAAGATGGCACGTGCGTTATTTGCACTGCACAGACTTCGACTGGCCCTTGGGCATCCGCATCCGCATGGCTCTTATGCATGGCCCGCTCAGTGTTACACCTTAAGCGGGTAGAACACACGCAACCCGCCAGGTGTAACACACACACATACACATATACACGCATTTGCTTACGGACTCCCGGGTTCCTATGCGGTGTATGGCTTTGAGCTGCAGGTTCTTGCAGCTGTTCTGTTCTGCTGCTGTTAATGTCTTACGGACGTGGAGAGGGTGTAGGACCCCGTCGGCATTCCCCCTCCCCTCCCCTCCCCTGGCCCGTTTCCGTGCTGTTCAGGACTACTTGTTCCGCAAGGCTGAGAAGCACGCAATACCGTGTGTGGAGAACACCAACATCGACAGATCGGTGGGCCTTATCCACCTGACGTTGCTGGGGTGGGTAACGGGAGGCAGGTGTGGTGCGCAGCGGGAGGGGGACTGTGCTGCGGAGCTTATGACGAGAGACGGAATTGGGAGTCAGGACGGAGGGCCCCCAGGGGTCTGGGTAAGGGGGTTAGGGGGCCACGGCTTTCAGGGTGTCATATAGCTTCAATGGATGTTTTGCGTGTATGTATGTACTGCAGGTATAACGCAGTTCTGTTCCGTTCCGTTCCATCGCCGCAGCTGCCTAAAGCGCATGATGAAGGGCGAGCAGGTGTTGGACGCGGGCTCGCCCTCCCTCCGGATGCTCCACAACGAGTACACCGCCGTGGTGGAGTCGTTGGCAGGGATGGGGACCGCAGCTGCAGGTACAGGCACGGGGCCAGGTACCGCCGCCGCCGCCGTTTCAGCAGCCGCGGTGGCGGCCGCGCCGCCATCGTCAGGCGCCGTCGGCCCCAGCGGTACCGCGCATTTTCACCGTGGTGAGCCGTGTGAGCGTGTGAGAGAGTTGTTGTTACACGTGTGGGGGTGTTGCGGAAGTGGGAATTATTGACACCCATCCCCGGCGGCGCTTTCCGTGGATTACCTGACACTGTGTCGTGCTGCGTTGCTCTGCCACGTGCGTCGTACAACGCTGCAGAGAGCTCCGCTAGCGTTGGGCCGTCAGCCCAGGCGCCGCTGCAGCGGATGCTAGGATCCCCGCGCTTCTTCAGCCGCGAGATTGGCGCCGCCGGAAGCTTGGCACCTCCAGCGGCGGCCACGGCCGCCGCCGGGGACGGCAGTGGCGTATACAACGAGGCGGTCCTGGTGGCAGCGGCGGCAGTCGCTGCTGCTGCCGCCTGCGGCAGCGGCGGCGGCGGCAGTGGTGGTGGCGGTGGTGGTCCTTCACATGCGCACAGCAGCCCACAGCTGGAACTCCCCGCACCTTACCAGAGCTGTGCGGAGGCTGCGGCTCTTCTGCTGTCGTCGTCTCCGCAACAGCACCCGTTGCAATCTGCACTGGTGACCAAGGTGCGATGGAAAAGGATTGGAAGCCAAGGGGCCCCCGCGGGACGCTGATGAGTGCACCCATGTGCTGTGCACGGGCTCTGGTGGCTGGCTGCCTGTCCATTCGTTTTTCACCGGAGAGCGAGTCGCCGCTGTCAAAGGGCCCCCGGCTCGTGATTTGATAAACGTTCGCGGCCGTGGGCTGGGGTGTGTGTCTGTAAGGGAAATTGTATTCCTTTGCTTCCAGCATCCGCAGTACAGGAATTTGTGAGGTTTAAGGGTTAGATCCAGCGAGGTCCAGGTAGGGAAAAACCGCTTCTTAGCTCTCGTTCACTATTCTAAAAGTTGGTGCCGCGGCAGCTTTCCGCACAACTCACCGTCCACTCCATAGTAAATTCGAAGAGTGCTCTCTCTCTCTTGCGATCACTCACCCCAGGCCCGCACAAGCCGCCGGAGCAGCTGTGGCGCACCGTTAGAGCTGCCGTCGACGTCGCCTCCACACTCCGGCCCGCTGCAGGCTCCGGTTGCGGTGTCGCCCTCCCTGGCTCAACCCATTTCGCCGCCCGTCAAGCTACTCTCCATCAGCGTCCATGCCGTCGCCGCAGCCGCTGCCGCCGGTAGCCCCCGGAGGAGCCCATCTACCAGCCAACTCCCGGCTCCCACTGCCCGAGCTGGCCCCGCTCACATCGGAGCTGCCGCAGTGGACACCGCAGTGGACACCGGTGGCGGCGGTGTGACTACTTGCGGTGCGCAGCTCATGGCGTCTGAGGCAATCGGACCCGGTTTGTGTCTTGAAAACGGCACCTGCGCTGCGGCGGCGGCGGCGGCGGCGGCGGCACTGCCTGCCGCAGCTCTGTCAGCGATATGGGAGGTCCCCGCTGGGATACTGCCGGCCTCGCCGATAGTTAGGGAGCGCAGCGGTGCTGATGGCGCCGTGCCATACGGCAGCATACCACTTCTTTGCAGCCGAGGCATCTCTCCGGGCTTGCCTGCTCCGCCGCTGGATGCAGCTTCGGTTGGTGTATCTGGTCTATGTTTGCCGCCAGGCGACCCCCTGGTGCGGTCATGGCCGTTGCCGAGTGACCAGCAGCCGAGGGTTCTTGAACCTAGTGGCCTCCAAAGCGCAGATGCTGAGGAGATAGAGGTGCCGCAGCCGTGGCATCCCTCACCACACATGGTTGGTGGTTACAATCAACACCGACTACGCCGACATCCCGTCGGTCGCGGCAACGGAAGTGGAGCTGACGATCAAGGCGACATGAAGGGGCAAGAGGAGCAGCTTTGGGTGAGCGTTCACCGGAATGAGGAGCATGGGTCGCACAGTGAGGCAGCTAAGGTAACGGCGAAGACGTGTGGGGCGTTTGGGGACCCGCCGCTTCTCGTTTCTGGTAGCCCGGCGCTAGGATTACCAACAACTGCCTCCGCGGTCGGCACCGCTTCCGTCGCCAGGACGTCTTCTGGCCGTGACGCCGCCAGCTGCGAAGGCATCAACCTTGGCAACCCAAGCCCGGTAGCAGTAGCAACGGCGGCGCCGCAGCTGCCGTCACCGCGACCTCCTCCCGTCAGCAGCTTTCCACCTCTGAGCTCTGAGCGGGTCGCGCATTCCACCGTCGCTAGCAGCGCTGATAACAGCGGGGACGCCGGCGACGACGTCAAGTATGCTGCGGCAGCACATCGGCCTGCGGCGCCGCCACGGGGCTCCCCACATAGCGGCGTGCCGGTACAAGCGCTGTCTCCGGAGCAGCAACAGCACGTTGAGGCTGTCCTGCCAGCTTGCATGGAGCGTCTCGGGGCCGGCGGAACGAGGTCGATGTCGGGGAGCGCCGTTGTTCCAGGCCGTGGCAGCAGCAACAGCAAAGACACGATCGCTGGCCACTGGTCGTCGCATCTTCTCGGGAGGATTGAGGAAGGGAGAGAGGGCGGCGAGGCACCCGAGGTGCTTTCCGCCACTGAAGGCCATGTGCCTTCGGCGGATTCCGCGGCGGCAGGGGCTGGCGGTATGATAGCACCCGCCGTTTCTATTGCTGCAGCCGTGGCGACGACGGCGGACGTCAGAGCGGATAGGGCTGCGTCGGCTGCGTTCGCGGCTGCAAAGGATGCTTATTCTCGCTTCGGCGACCGATGTTCCGAGGAAGTGCTTCGCGCGGTCATCGAGTCGGCCATTTTGGACCAGCAGATGGACTGCGTGACGGAGCAGCAGCTGCCTGCTGGGTGGCAGCAACAGCAGCGCTCCGAATCGCCGGCGCCATCAGCCGTCCAGCTGTCGTCCAGTTTTGGCACCGGGCAGCGGCAGCTGGGTTGGGAAGGGTCAGAGGACGGCCAGGGCACGCCACCCAACTGTGTAGGGTGCGGCGAAGAGGTAGCACCGCCACCGCTGCCGCCGCAGCAGCAGGCCTGCTTAGCGCCTGCGGGCGTGTCAGACGCGGTAGGAATGGATGGTGCGGCGAGTTCCTTGGCCGCAACGTTGGGATCTTCACCTGCGGTTGCGGTGGAAAGCGGAGGCAGCGGCGGTGGCGGTGGCGACGGAGGGGCTCAGCGAGCTCGACCTGATGCTACGGCTCTCAGCGCATTCGCAGGTGCGGTGGGTATATCTTCTGGTAAGGACACCTGAGCCGTTTGGATTTGAGAAACAAGGGAGGCTTAAGGATAATGTAGCGTGGGACTGGAGGAAAGGGATTGCGGCGAGGGGTATGGGAGACGTGTTTCGTAAACCTCGTAATGGGCTTGCGACACTAAGCGCGTTGGTGTTGCCTTCGCGGCATACGACAGCTCCTCGCGCTTGCGCAATCTGGCTGATCTTGGTTAAGGCTCATTCTGGATGGTGCTTTCGTGAGATTGCCGGTTAATGTTGACTGTCGACACTTGCTGCTGATTGATTGACATGGCTGTAGGAGTGAGCAGCTGGCCGGCCGCCAGTGCCGCTGCTCTTCGGAACGGCAGTCGTCGCCTGGGGGAGGAGTCCTCCTCACCCAGCCGTAGCGGTTACTCGTCTGATGAAGGGGGCATTGCCGAGGGCGATGCCGGCCGGGAGGGGGACGAGGACAGGGGAGGATGTGACGGCGGCGACATGGGCCCTGCCGCTGGCAGCGGCGCGGGAAGTGGCGGCTGCGGAAATGTGCGGCGACGGCGCCCTACCCTTCACACTGGGTCGCATGGGCCGCGGCTGCCAGGCGACAGCGATGACCCGGATGGCGAGGTGTACGGCTTGTACGGTTACGGAAGCGCCAGTCCGCTACAGGTACTGCAAGCTGTATGGATGTTTCAGTTATTCAAGGGCTATACTATGGGCCTTCTTGACCAAACCGCTGGGGGTTGTCCCCCGGACGGGCTAGAGCGGAGGAAAGGGAGCTTTCTGTGAAAGACGCCCGCCGTACGGATTGCCTTCTATAAGGTAGCATGACATGGCATGTTTGCAGGAGTACGGCAGCGTCTACGAGAGTGCGACGCACGACGACATGGATGAGCACGGCGATGAAGAGGAGGGCGCACCTCTCGGTCGCACCTCTAACACGATTATACGGCACCTGGCGGGGGCTCTGGTACGTAGCCGTATGCGGGCATCAGCCTCGGCGGCAGCGGCGGCGGCAACGGGCCGGGCTCCCTCGCGCGCACAGCACTACCAGCGCGCCAACGGGCCCCCACCGGCGTCATCCTCGGGAGCCGCGCTGCGGTTGAGCGTCGGTCGAAAGTCTCCATTGTTGTTGCGAGGGGCTGGTGGGGGCGAAAATGTACAGCAGCACCAACCAGTAACGGCAGGGGGCAAGAGCGCTAGCAGTGATAATCGAAACCCGCGTGTAGATGGGACAGGCGGCGACAGCATTGGTGGCAATCGCGCGATGGGAGTTAATCAACAGCTGCGGCAACTGCTGCGGGGGGGTGCAGGGCCAAAATTACGGCCTCCTCAGGGGTCCGGAGGGTCCGCGGTTCTGCAGCAGATACCGCAACAATCTTCAACTTCGGGCGAAACATAGTAAAAGTAGCCATAACCTAGGGTGCGTTAGGAGTTGTGGTACACGTACATATTAAATCAAATCTAGTGCATAGCTGCCCATGTTACCTGTGCTACTAAGACATCGCTGGACTACAAGCACATGTATCCTTGCGGCCCTACCTGGTAATACATGTGTTTACCTAATGACTTCAATTTTTCAGTGATGATAATGCTGAATAGGAGGCACCTCCCTACTGATGTACCACGTGTTGTACCACTGCACCATGTGTTGGGGCTCGTCAGCTGAAAGACAACCCGTCTCGACTTTCCCCACGGCATGCACGGTTCGGCTGAACTCAGTATTGACGACCTAGAGATGGATTTCCATCCACCATGCATGTTCAGGCGCTCGACGGTCACGGCGCAAGACAAAATTACATGGCCGCATGCGAAATGTATCCAAGGCATGGCCGTGAGTTCGTAGCCTTCGCGTTCACCTGCACTAGCGCACTGTGGAGATCGTTGCCACTGCGGTCACGAGTATATCAGCACACCAGCAATGCGGGAACTCAGGGACGGACTCAACCTGCCGCGTCAAACACCGATATTCCGGACCCCATTCTTCCACGTACAGATCAACACCCAAGCAAGTATCGTCAAACCGAACGAGTTACAACCTGCCTACTCAGGTATCAGCACATCTCGCTGCCACCGTTACGCGGAGAATCTTTGCCATCGTCCCAGTAGTCTCACCATGTCCAAGCTGATGCTGACATATGCTGTTTCACGCTGTTCGATGTCGCCCTCTGCGGAAATCGCCATTCGAACTGGCCATGCACCTAGAAGTGCATGCGGACCCGGCTTGCGGAATAGGTCAATGCCGTAAGGGGTTCTCCAAAGCGCTGCATCCACAAGAAGGCCGAGAGCGTGCTAACGGGACCATAGCGCGGCTCAACTCGCTTCGACTAACGATAACCAATTTAAAGCCGAAAACCTCGATGTGCAGGTGAGCTGCGCGGCAGTTGGCACAGCCTACTGCTTACGCAAGTGCCGGGAAATGGCTCTCGTCGCCAGGAAGCGGCGCAGAGCCGCGCCCCGCACCGCGACCACCAGCACCGCGGCCGCCACGCTCGCCGCCACGCTCGCCACCACGCTCGCCGCCACGGCCACCACGTTCGCCGCGGGCGCTCTGGGGACGATCACCGAAGCGGCCGCCACGGCCACCACGGCCACGGCCGCCACGCTCGCCGCGACCAGCATCGCTGCTCTCGATACGGAAGCCCGTCTCAACGAAGATCTACACATCAAATATGGGCCTCCATTATAACGTAATGCTTTCTGCGGCAACGATGACAGTATGCTAGCACACGACAACCCATGACTCAACCACAGCTTTAGACGGGCAGAAGATGCCCCACGAAGTATACGAACATGCAGACAAATTAAAAGCTACACTGCAGTCTGTGAAACCAGACATGGTTAACAAGAGCAACAAGATCCATAACGCTGGGAGTTTTTCGGGGGAATACTGGGGGGCCACTGCCGTACCTTGGCCTTGGCTGCGTTCTCCCTTGCTACGCGCTCTGCCTCCGCCTTCTTTTTCTCAATGGGGCCGAGGTCCAGCCCCTGCGACCGGGCAAACCAACCCAAGGATGCAAAACAAAGGGGTAAGTCAATGAAGCCCAAAGCACAGACAATCTCTTCAAACCACTGCGCCGCCACAATCGATGTCTTCATGTACGGAATTTAAGCACCCGGGGCCACGCGCACCTTCTCCTCAATAGACTGCTTGGTGAAGACCTTCAGGCCCTTCAGCTCAGCCGAGGGATCGACGTTCTTCGACTCCGACGCCTTATTGAGGGCCTTCTTCTTTTCAGCCATCATAGCCTCGTACTCCTCCAGGCTCAGCTCCTATGTACGAATAAGAACGATCAGTATTACGAATCCCTTGCGAAAGCTTTGAACGTGACGCATGGCATGCACACGGTTCCGTACCGAGCGCACAAAACTAACCTTCTCCTCCTCCTTCGGAGGCTCATCAACAACAGGCTGCTCCGGGGCAGCGCTCTCCTCGGCAGGGACTTCCTCTGTAACCTTGACCTCCTCGCCCTCGGGTGTCCTGGAATGTTACAACAAGGAATCCCTCAATACGAAGTATAGCTGTACAGGATAAATGCAGCCCCCCGAAAATGGACTGCCAGCAGTAACCGACAGCGACAGGGTAAACTCCCAAAGAGTCCCCTTTGCCACATAGCTTCCGGTTCCCATCCTATCATGGTCGCATCATCTCATCTTCAGATTTGCGGAACCGGGATCAGAAAATCTTGTGCATCTTATGCTGACTGTGCAAGTGAGAAAGCCCGCCGCCAGAAATCTCGACAGAGCGAAGTGCGATCCATTCGGCCTCTGGTATGCTTCTAGCAAAGAAATTGAAAGCTGACGCTGCGCCTGAGGCCAGCCTGGACTTACTCCTTAACCTCCTCGCCCTCCTTGCCCCAGTTGCCGCGGCCAGCACCGTGACGCTTCTCTGTCTCGTGACTGCAATTGAGAATATATGCCAAAAATGCGAAGTTATAAAACAAGAAGAAAATCATACTGCTCATATTCGCGAAACAGGGAAGGGAATCTCAAGCTCTGAAAAGCCAATGCTCACCCGCGACCGGTGCCATCATGACGCTCATACTCGCGCCTAGGAGGACGGCCCTCGCCCGAGAAGCGGCCACCACGACCCCGGCCAGGGCGAGGACCCCTGCCCCGGCCAGCCTCGCCATCGGTGCGCTCCATTACTGGCGCCTCCCCATCAGCAGGAGCCGCATTGCGATCCACAAACGGGCGTGGACCCCGACCACCACGGCCACCACGGCCCTCGCCTCGGCCGCGACCTCCCTCTCCGCGCCCACGGCCGCCGCGGCCGCCGTTCTCAGTGCGAGGAGCCTCCTGCTTGGCAACAGGTGCCTTGGCTGCAAAAAGAAATCAAAGAACAAATTGTTTAGCAAGGCGGAGTAAGCATGTTTGCTCAAAAGGCGGTCTCGGCGACAGCGCCGCATTGGCAAGCCGGCTTACCCGGCTTGACGTCCTCCTTGGGAGCTTCCTTCTTCACCGGCTTAGGCGCCTTTGCAGCCAGAACCTGGGGGTCCTCATTCTCGTCGTCTCCGAGCAGAGCAAACACGTTCTGGTCCGCCATTTGGTGTGCACCTGGGGGTTCTACTTTCCGGTGCTACCCGACAAACTAGTGTTGCATGCTTCGCGAGACGCGAGTGAACGTTGTTGGGTGTAACCAAAATTTCAGGTTTTAAAAGAGAGAGAACAATATGGAAAAGAGAATGCTTTACATGACAGGTCTCTCTCGCCCATAAGGCCCATATTTTTGGACAGTCGACAAATCCGGACCCCGCGTCTTCTTTGACTTGGATTGCGCTCGCAGGATATGGTCGTAGTAGGCATTTATCGTGTACAGACACCTTTTCAACTCAATGGCAACTGTTGTCTGTCGGATGGTCACCAGTTGATAGGCAGGGCACTGCCTACTCATTCGCTTCATTCCACTTACGGACTGCATAGACAGAGGTCTCTTAAACTCGTTAGATTTGCAAGAAGGACGGGCTCCAGCAAAGCCTCCGCCCTGAAGTGGCGGTGCGAGAGCAGTTGTTTATGTCCTGTTGTGTTCTTATACAGAGCTACAAGGTCACACCAAACTGAATTATGTGGGGCGTGGAACTATGCCAACTGGCTCATTGCAAGTTTAGTCCTGGCCTCTCTATTACTGTGTCCCGTGGGGCGTCATCACCTGGGTTCGAGACTGCCGTTGTCGGCTATTCGTAGAACTTCCCTTCGTGTAACGACATCGTCCTAGGGTTACCGCAGCCTCAGTCCTATATCAATAACCAAAGCTGCAAATCCTAGCTTCCATTGGGTTCCCTTGATTAGATAAATCAATGTTTTCCGAGTGCTTCTCCTGCAGACATAATCTTCTTAAGCATCGGTATGCATAGTCAATACGTTGTCTAGCATCTTACTTTGCTGCACTCAAACTTCCCTCCTGGCTCATCTTTCAAGCAGCTTTGAACTTATTGATAGAACTGCGTGTGATATGCGTTAAATTTTGCCTTCGTCGAGAAGGATGGCCTTCGCGCCTGTTGTGGTGCTTTCAGTCCCTGCCTGCTCACGTTACGTAGTATTGTGCGCCGCCTTCCTTCTCTTGTCATCTGATCTGTGGGCACATAAGCGAGTCTATGCGCTGGGAGCGCTGGGACGTCAGCTGCACTCGGTTCGATTGCCACGAGGTGCGCCGTCGTTCCTATTTGGTTGTCTTGCAGGGGAGAGCTGCAGACCTGCATAAAGTTAATCATATGTGGCAGCATACATTGGATCTTGTGGCGCCGGCCGATGCTGCGTCACTGCTTGATAGGTCCATAGGTGTATGGCTAGGGGAGGACTAACCCGCAAGTGACTAATCCTGCTGCTTCGCCTTGCCTCTCCTCACATGGAGCTTCACTCCATCTACAAAGCCTCTGGAAGCCAGACTTCAAATCAATACCCATATAACCGGCACGCTTGGCCTCTTGCATCGCGGTACTTTCCTGCCCGCTGCTTCACACCCATTCACCATCGTCCCTTCTCTGTCAACGCGCCCCACCGTGCTGGCTTAGTTGCCCATTTAAGACCGCTAGAGCTGCGCGATCCACCTGCGTCGCACGCCCGAGCTCGCGCCACCAGCTGAATGAAAAATGACTCGGTGGTCGTCTGCACCTCGCATGTAGTGTAGCTGGAAAGCCTCTGCCGCTGCTACTGCCGCTGACATCCTGCATACTTGAGGGTCCGGTCGGGCCTTCCCCTAGCCCGTGCATGCCCTCCATGAATCGTTGCCCCATCCACGCAGCCATGTCTGTCTACCTCCAGGCTATTTCCACGGCCTCTTCCCAAATTACCACCCACGGGTGAATAGGCATGCTAGAGTTACAAGTTACAAGTGCCGCACGAGTGTGTGTGGGGGGGTTCTGTCAAAGCCGGGAGGTCATGGACTGTATATATATTGAAAGTTGATTACACCGTACAACCGACGGCGATTTGGGTCCTGCCAACTGGACCCCTCCTCATCCAGTCACCCGACATCGTAGATGTGGAGACGCGCAGCAGGCCACGCACGCACAGCATCGTAACAGCACGCATGCCGTTGCAGCTCGCCATGACACACACAACCTGTGCAATGTGCCTATCGAGGACGGACTCTTCGCATACACCACGCTCAGTTCGCGCTGTGGTTCTTTTCCCTGTTCCTAGAGTCCATCTCCCGCGGCCGTTCCGTGGTGCTGCGTTGTCAAAGATGCTGCTAACGCCTGCGTGGTTCAGTCCCCTCCATTTTCCCATCCCTCCCAATCAACACCTCCTTTTCCTCAACTCCACCGGTTCCTCCTGAAATCGACACGGCCGCACACATGCAAGCGCGTATCGTATTGCTCGTAACACTTATGCTGTGCTTTGACATAGGCGACGCCCTTTCCAGCACAAGAATATGCACATACACAGAAGACACAGCATGTATGTCTCCTTTACCAGTTGACTTCCCAATGTTTGCCATGGAGCCTAGGGCATTTGGCCAATCTTTGGCTGGCTGCAACTGTCGCTTAACCACCACGAACACAAAAAATTATCTGAGGCACACTGGCTTACGGCAGTAATGGTTTCACAGGGGCACGTGTGATAGTAGTCCTGGAGAAGCGCTTTCCCCATTTTTTCTTGCGCCCCTTCGGCTTCCGCGATGCCGCGGTAGGGATCATCTAAGCCCCCCAGCCCGTGAAGACCGGGCTGCTGGCTGACGAAACACACAGTTTCGGGCCCACCTTCCCCATTTTCGCACGCCGTCCATGGTTCCAGGCTGGGAGCTTCGTGAGGCGCTGGAGAAGCTCGACAAGGAACTGTACGACAATGCCCCGGGACCAGAACGGTCGTTCATGTCCGCGTTGAAGAACCCCTGCTGGGCGTCGCCGTCAGCAGGCGTCCCAGACGGCGACGGCGGCGCTGTCAACTGTCTGCCGTACGCTATGATTATGGGCGGATTCCATTGCGGCGCCGCCAGCCTTTGGCAGGCGCTGTACAAGCACCCGCTCGTGGCTAAGGTGCGGCTGGGTGTGGAAGAACGCGCCGCAGAGGCGCAGCAAGTACGTTGCGCACTAGGCCACATCGATGTAAATATATCCAACAAGTGGCCTGATGCGTGGCGAGATTTCTCAGGTGACCCTGTGGGTCTCTGTGACGCTGGCGCATGGCTCCTGTGATGCGGGTGACTCCTGGCTTGCTCCCCTCCCGCAACCCGGGGGTAATTGACGGTCAGTGACAGAATGGCCGCTACCTCACGGGGCATCTCATCCACTTATCGACACACCCGCGCGCGTGGGCGCCGCGCCGCTGTGTTGTTCCTGATGCTGATAATGCACAAAACCAATTTTCTTACTGGATTGCTTCGATAACAAAGTAACACACCTCGTAGTAAGCAAGGGGCATCTCGACCATCCAATGCGGTGCCCCCTCACCCCTGCTCTCTGATTGCCGTGGCTCTCCTCGCCACCTCTCTCCCCCCCCGGCCTGGCCTGGCCCGAACCCGATCAACGCTTCCGAACGTCATCTGCTGCACGCCTTTTTTAGTTCATGTGGAGGTTTCTTCTTTCCGCGCCCCAGGTCGTTAGTGTTCCCCGATTTCCAGAGCCATTAAGCGGGCCTCTCGAGTGCCGTAGTCCTCACGCGGCGCAGGTTATCGTGTCACTGCCAGTTACCTCGTGATCCCCAATTGCCGCACTCCCGCCTCCCTGCTCAAATCAGGTTCGTGCCTTCGTGTCCTCCAGCCATCTCTTCCCCGCCCCAGTCGCGTGTTATCCCATTTGTGTTTCACATTTTCTATTTCTCCCGGAGAGCGTTTTTCGGTTTCTCCCAATCCCGTTTACTGCAGTCTGACGTCAGCCGGTGGCATTTTTGGGCGGAGTTCGACAAGTCCTTGAGCGGCTATGTGGCGGGTACGGCAAAGGGGGCGGCACGCATCGCAGCCTGGCCGCGGCAGGTCGAATTGGCGGCGAAGGCGGCGACCAGCAGCAGCCCCGTCGCGTTTGTTGGCGAGCCGGGCGGCGCCGCCTGGCTTCGGCGGCAGCAGAAGATCTTGCTCGATGGAAGCAGCAGCACCTTTGCTTTCTACTGGAGCCCGAGTAGGTCGCCGGTGCCGCCGCAGGGAACGGCGGCTTCCTGAAACGTCTGATAACTGGGTTGGGGCTCCGAATCCAGACGAGGGGCCTTACGTACCCTGGGCAGGGGTGATTGTGAGGAGCCCGGGTTGGGGAAGCGGGAGGGGGTCACAGCCCTACCTTTCGCACCTGGCGCGCGCGGCTATTTGGACACCTGGGGTCCGTTGGAAAGTTAAGTTTCTTCCGACCCTCATCTCCATCATTTCTCCGCGACCTCACAGCTGGTATCGTTGGCGCTTGCAGTCCTGCAGGCGCTTCGCCCCTCCCATCCATTCAAAATTACCTTCCATTCCCCTCTGTGGCCCCTCTGTGCCGCCCAATCGCCCGGTGCCTTACTTGCTCACCCCTTTACGCCCTCGACCGCAAGCGAGTCAGGTGCCTCTCCCGTCGCCTTGTCCAAATCCACCCGATCCAAAGCAATCCCCTCCCGCCCCACCCCGATTCCCCTACCATCTGCCCCAGACGTTCGTGCCCATCGAGCCTTCATCAAGTCCATGGCGCCTTGCTGGGAGGGCTGCCATAAGACACACAAGGAGGGGGCGGAGAGGGATGGCTGCCTGGAGGGGTGCTACGCCGCGGCGAGGCAGGCGGACCGGGAGGTGCGGCACTGCGGGAGGCTACAAACGAAAGAGACTGGACCCTGGGGTTTTAGGGGAGGAGTGATGCCGACGGTGGTGACGGTGACGGTCCTGGCTGTGATGGTGTGTGAGAGGATGAGGGATAAGAAGGGGGGACGGCCAGCGCCTGGCCCCAGCGCGTTGTAGCGTTGTTGCCTTGATTACTCGAGAGAATTCAGCCCAAGGCTTCCCAATGCTCCCATCTCAGCTTTCGGAACGGCGCATGGTCCCTGGAGAGCTTGGCGCATTCCCTAGGTTCATGTTGTCTTTTCTCCTGGCTCGCAACCCTTCAAAAACACATTCCAACCCTGCCGCCCTCCCGGCACATGGTCCCGGTCCCGCCGCGGACATACGTACACACGTAAACGCACATGGTCCATCCAGCTCGCCGCCAGCCTGGGGTTGCCGTACAACGATATCTCTCTTCCGCTGCTCATCTCGGCTGTGTACGGCAGGCGGCCGCCCAAGATGGTGGTGCTGGTGCGCAATCCGGTGGACAGGTGCGGGGATCGGGGGGCCCTGGAGGTGGGGGTAGAGGTGGAGGTGGGGGTAGAGGTGGAGGTGGGGGTAGAGGTGGGAGGTGGGGGTAGAAGTGGGGCCAGGTTATGAGATGCCTTCGGAGCGGTTAGCGTTTGTACGGTGGGTTCTGGGGCGGACTTGCTTCTGCCTACCTGCCTGTCGTCCGGTTTTGTCTGTCACGTGCCTGTTATTTGCGTTTTTCATTCTGGATGGGATTATACCCGGAGTCGCGACTGAGCGAGGCGTCACCTCTGCCGCCGTCGATGTGCGTCGTGCTGACGTTGTGTAGGCTGTACAGCGCTTACTGGCGGTACGGCCACTACCGCGACAAGTACGGCCCCAGTCCGGAGGGCTTTGAGACGTACGCGCGCGAGCAGGTGCGAGCGACCGGAGACGGGTGTGTGAAAAAGGGGGAGGGCAGCCCATCTTGATCAGCGATCCAAATGTCCCTCGTAATATACGCCCCTCGCATACATATGAGGGGCTGTATGCAACCCGTTCCCACGATCCCATCCCGTCTGACCTCCTGCCTCCGCGGAGCTCTGTTCAGATCTTAAAACCCTGCTTCTAGGAATCCTCAGCGGATGCAGCTTCGTGCGTCACCGGGCTTCTCTTTTACGGCTTGTGCATATGTATGTCTGTGTGTGTGCGTTACACCTCCTGGAGTTGCGTTACCTTCCGAAGGTGTTTACGGGGCCATACGAGCCTGAGGGTCCCCAAGGACCAGCCTATGATCCTACCCTACTTTGCTTCTTCCTCCATACCTCCTGCACATGATTCCCCTCCCGCAATAATCGATCCCTGTGTGCTTAGCTAACTGGGCTCAAGGCGTGTATGGGCCGCAATGGCAGTGAGAGTGAGATCGGCTGCCTGCTGCACTTCGAGACGTGGGGCCTGAGGGAGGAGAGGCTGTACTTCCATGCCGACCAGGTGAGGCTAGCTATGGCCTCTAAAGGTCTAGATTTGTGGAAGCGGGTGGAAAGGGCTTCGGTAGCTTGCGGCGGTGTGGGTTGCTCGAGGTGATAGTGATGGTGATGATGATGGCAGGTGTGGTGATTGCGTTATGTGAGGACCGGTTGGGGTACTCTGCCCCAACTCTGCCCTTTCCTCTCTTCCTCCTTGACAACTCATCACCCGATCCCCGCGTCGCTCAAAATCCCTGCGCCTGTTGTGCCGGATAAGCCCGCCCCATACCCCATAGTCCCCGAGCCCTGAACTTAGCCGCCTGAATCCTTTCTCCCCTTTCTCCCCCTGTTTTTCCTCTCTCCTTCCCTCCGCCCGCAAATACCCCTCCCCGCGCCCCCGTCAGCTCCTTCGTGGCGTGTACTCGGTCTGGCTGGAGATCTGGCTCAAGTTCTTTGACCGCAAGGACCTGCTGGTGCTGCGCAGTGAGGACTACTTCGCAGACCCCGTGGAGGTGTTCAACCGGGTGGCGGAGTGGCTGGGGCTGGACGTCTCCGCGGTGGACTACCATGCGCGCATCGAGCGCGTGGGCAAGGCCACCACTGCGGACGAGGCGGCGGCGGCCATGCAGGCGCCTGTCGACGACAAGTGTGTTATTGGTTCTTGGGGGCTGAAGAAGGGATGATGGAGGTTAAAACGAGTCTCCAGGGAGGGCCAAGCCGAAGGGCCGGGAAAAAGGGTAGGAGTTAAGAAGGTACCGGTATATGCCGATGCACCGATGGACTCTGACCCAAATCTGAATGAAAGCATTTCGGAAAGATCATAGATATAATAGGAATAGGAAATAGATATGGAGGAATAGATTTTTGCTAGATTCGTCTGGGCCGTGATTCTGTTTCTGTCGCACGTCCCATCTCTGCTTCACGCTCAGTTGATGCTGTTGAGGCATCGCCAGTCGACATCTTTTGCGTCCCTGCCCGTCTTGGTCCCTATTGATGATCATTTCCGACTACCTCTCTCAGCGTGTCCTCGTAGTGTACCTGTAGTCTTTGGGTCGGCAGTTTTCCTACATAGCTCCTATCACCCCCGGTGCCATGGTACCCTGCCGAGCCCCTCCATCACCCCCTGGGTACCCTGTCTGGGAGTTGAGAGCTGACACAGATGACAGTTTGACCTATGGCTACGGGATTGGCATAGTTGGTTGGCTGGTTAATCACTTGGCATGGTGGACCTACTTCGAAATAATGTCGGGTTGACAATGCGATGTCAGCACAGTGCCATGTGCTTGACACGGGTTGGTGCTCAGATGGTTGGTGCTTGTGCGCACCTGCACAGGTTGTGGGGGGAAATTCGGCGCATCCTGCTGGAGGGAGACAAGGTGGAAGGCTCGCGCTATGCGATCAACCGCCAGGGCGCTCTGGCGGCCCAAAGAGAGCTCCAGCAACACTCGGGCCGACGGCGGCAGCGGCGTAGGGGACACGGCGGCGACGATGGTGGCGTAACAGCAGCTGCTGCAAGTGGTGGGCGCCCCCCTATGTCGGCCGCCATCCGGCGCGAGCTGGCAGAGTTTTACGCACCGTAAGTACAGTGCATCACTCTTCACTTCCTGGCACATTGCACTCCGCCACGTATCGCTTTTCGGGTACGCCATGGGGACGTCTACCTCTTCCACAGCTTCATTTTACTTTTCTTCCGATCTTGCTTAAGTCTTGGAGGCTAGGTAGGTAGGTTTCCGACATCATCTTCACTACATCATCCCGAGGTCGCCGCCTTCAAGAACGCCTACTGGTCAGTTCTGCTCCTTGGCAGCAGCTTCACGCGTTCGTGGTTCGTCTTTCCCCCATTTCACCATATTCTGATCCCTTTTTCCTGGCTCAAACGCGGCCCTTCGGGCTGCCTAGTCAATCCTCGTTCCGCCTTGCTTTGCCCTGGCAATCTAGTTGTCTAAAAGGGGACTCGGGGGCCGCCGGCGCCTTGCCAGATTAGGAAATGTAAAGTTACAGTCTCGCGTATATCTCGTATTGTCTGATACGGCAGGTAGTTCGTCCCCAATATGTATTTTCGCTGTGTCTGTAATGCGTCATTAAAACTCGTCCGCATCTCCTCATCCATCCGCTAGCCTGGTTTGCTTGGTTTCCTCTGATCCTACCCTAGACTGACTTGCCGCAACCCCTTTGTGGCCCGCAGATACAACCGGCGGCTGGGGCAGCTGCTCGAGGATCCCAACTTCATCCGCGGCTGGGATTGATTTGAGTGCTTGGTCGAGGGAGGGCAAAGAAGTAGTGGAGTATGATTGGGCCCAGCCGAAGGCGTGAAACGCGGTTACGAGCCTCATGACCAAGTGATCAGGTGGGTCCAACCGGATCCGTAAAGCTGTATGCTGCAGTGCATGCAGGGGCCGCGCAGGGCAGGGAGCAGTGCAGTGAGCCGTGGCTCCCGTCCAAGGACGGGTTGAAGTGTTCAGGGGTAAGGCGGATACGGGGCCTTGGACAAGAATCGTACCCCGAAGGCGTGTTATGCTTGCGGTATGTGTCGGGAGGGAGGGTTGATATTAGTTCAATTTTGTGCTTGACGCTTTACAAATTTAAAGTAAACATTGGAGGATAGTTATGGCAGGAGAAAGACCGAGAGGACAATGAGCACAAGCAGTTAGAGTTCTGCGTCGTGAGAGCAACGTATGGAGGGCTGTTTAGGGAAGGAGAGTAGCGCAGTTTGCAGTTTGGATATTGTCGCTGATGGGTTACGTAAGGAAGAACTGCATGCTCAAGGGTCGGGGCTGGTGTCGGTGATTATGCTGAGGATAACACGGAAGGTGGTGGGATGTTGGTGTATTGGGCCGCGCGACTTACGGCAAAGGATTACGCTAGTGAACTGGGACCCCGTCCGTCTATCTGTCCGTCTATCTGTCTGTCGGGCAGCCTCGGCGTGCGCCTGTGTGTGTGTGCTTCGAGACGCGCGCGAGCCGTCGGTCTTGCTCGAATTCATAATAGCGACCTATGCGGCAGGAGGCTTTTTCGGACAGAGAGTGCTTTTTAAATAATGTGCTAATTTTAGTAATGCTTTTTTAGGACTTCGAATTGTCGATGATGTGAAGAGTTATGTCCTTACGGGATGTCGTTGGTGATTTTGCTCGTCTCTGTTTCCACGTCGATCCTTTCGCCACCTTTGACTTTTGCGTTCATTAGTGACGTCTGACGCGTCTGATACGAGCAGCTGGCTGCAGCCTTAGAGTTTCGCAATTGCTTGGTTAAGACAGCCGTCCACATAAGCGGAATGAAGGGATCGAAACGTTGCGCAACCCGAATGTGTAGCCTTGTGTGCGGTAATGTTGGCATTTAGCAGGGCTGGCAAAATCTTTGCCTTGTGGAAGTGAAATAATTGCGGAGGACTTGAGCGGGCTTAAGTTGCACAGCAGGACACCTGGTGCGATGCACCGTGTGGAACCTATGTCTCTTGACATTCTTTGCACGGTGGGTGCCCGGCTCTGCTCTGCACTGCTCTGATGCGCGGCACATTTTAGCAGCGAGGATAAGTCTTGACACCGGCGAATCAATGCCTCTTCGGTTCCTGTGCAACGCAAATGTCCATGTTGGATTTGGGTGAGGAGCCAATTCAAATACATGTCCAATTGGACACGCTGGCACGGTTTAAAGACGCACTCCTCTGGCGTGTATGTACACCAGGATGGTACCCCCCAGTGGCTCGGCAACGAGTTAGCAATAAGCCTTAACCACGATGCGGTGGAACTGGTGAAATATTGCCTTGCTGGGCCGAGCACAGATCCAACCAGACCTCGGACCGGTGTGCGACTGTGTGCATGCCGGGAGGCATTCGGAGTGGACATGCCCTGGACATGCTGGGCTTAAGTGGTGGTAGAACAAAGGGGGCGGATTGCGAAAGATTAAAAGATCCCACCAGCATACTATGCTGCTGCTTGATGCCTATTAGGCGTCAAGAGGCCTGGCGCTGCCTGGCTGCTACGTTAAGACCATGATGTAGTAGGATAGGACACTTTTGACGGAACACCCATTGATAACTTGTAATCTTCGCTGCGTGCAGTGCTAGATTGGAGACTTTGCTTCCTAGAATTTCCGTTGCAGTTCGGTAGGCGTTTCCAAGCAGCTGCCCACAGTTTGCCTCGTCGGTCCATGGGTGATATCAACAATTAAATCTCATAGAGAAAATGAGGATGGATTGTTGCGGGTACAGAGTGAGGCAATCATTGCACGTAGCGATCAGATAGCTTTGGAAGCTCGTCCAGATACACCGTTTCATGTTTGTATCCCACACGGCGCCAGCAAAACGAGCTCTATACTATTATTATGCGTTTTGACAAAATGTCCGTTGTGCATGCACGTTTCAGCATCACGGCAGGCGTGGCCACCACACAAACCTGTGAGAGCTAGCACACAAGCCTCCATATATATACCAGTATTACACGCAAGAAATTATCATGCCAACGTTGATGAAAAGGGACATACTGACGAGTGACGACTAGATAGGACTCTGGAGCACTGTACTGCAATTGTCCTAAAGGTTTCGGACCGTGCAGGGACAGATAGGTTTGCGTTAATCCCGTTCCGCATCGGAACTAAAACATTTGTTGGAGTTCAGCAGGTGTTAAAAGAGCTGGGCCAAATTTATTTTCGGGGCCCACCTCACGGTGGTCACGATGGGCCATCTGAAAGGCGCAGACCGCTAGGACCAGCCCGAGACACATACTTTTGCTCAAGCTTATGTGTATGAAGTATCAATCATATGCGGTGGTAAGCGCCAACAAGTAGTTAAGAACAGCGGGCACTGGGTATACCGGCATCTTAGCATACTGGTGCTTCCATTTTGCACAACCGCGTGAAGACAGAGACGATGCAGAATGACTCCGGCTACACCCACGCGCCGGCAGCCTGGGGTCCCGGCAGCCTTCAAGACTGGCCAAACAGTAAGTCCTTGGCGCTCCCTTTGTAGTCCACAGACTATTGCAATGGTTGTAAACCGGTCCTCTTGGCTTGGCCACTGCCGGTGTGATGGCAGCGCCAACACGTACACGGACCGTGAGCCGATGTTATGACTTAATGTAGTTCTGCTTGCAAAGCTATGCCTTCTGCCATGCTTACAGGATGTTTTGTACCAACGGCATCCCTACCGCCCCGTCCGGGCGCCAGTCTCTCAGGTGCGCACAGCGCACACGAGTCCTTCGCGGGCACTTTTAACATGAGGCACTTGCATGGATAAGGAATTCAATTCTCTTGCTCGATACGTAAGATTGCTAAGATCGCTGCGTTGCGCGTGTTGGGATGGCCTTCAGAACGCCTGTGCTCGTTGAACTTTTCCATAGGCACGCCGGAACATCCCCAGGAATCCCATAACAAATACGAGCGGCAACTTTTATATCATGAATTCGTTTTCCAATGGTTTGTCAACAGGTAGTGTTGGGCCCGAAGGGGCTGTCGCCGCCACCGTTGGAGCAGCCCAGGCGGTTTCAACAGCTCCAAGCCGCAGCGTTGTCAGCTTGTTCGCTTCGGACAACATGGAAGGTGCCGAAACGCGGAAGTTGGGCCCCAAGTCCCTTCGGCGGAATTCGCAGCAAGTCAGTTCTGCCCCCAGACCTGCGGTTGCGGAGGCAGCTATCCCTGGTAGTGGCGGCGACACAGGTAGCGCAACGAGTGCTTCGGATGGCACGGTCCAGTGCCCAGAACTCCCTGCTATGCGGAACCTGTCGACATCGCCCATGAACTCCCCGCTCCCGCAAAATAGCGCAGTTGCTGCATCTGGTTCGGCCGCCTTCCTTCCCGACCTGTGCTCAACTCCCCAGCGCCAATTGACTACGCCGGTTGCACATGCCGTTCCCGCAACGGCAGCCGCTGTGGAATGCTCCGAGGTTGCCGAGGCAGGCTTGGCGTCCAAAGCGCAACCCGACTCGGGCGGTGCTGGCGAGGCCTGCGAAATGGAGGACGCCAAGCCATCCGGCAGCTGGCGTATCGAGCCAGAAGTCCTAAAGCAGGAAGCTATGCAGGGCCTCGCGTCAAAGAACCCACATCTCCCGCAGCCGGTCCGCGTCACAGTCGGACCTAACGCCTTCCGCCAGCAGCAGCAGCAGATCCACAACCACCAGCAATCTTCGTTGCAATCTCAGCAGCAGCAGCAGAATGCCATACCCCAAGCAGCCAAGAAGAGGGGCCGAGACGCCGGAGGGGCCTCGCACCGGCAGTGGGGATCGGCGGATGGGGACGATAGTGACGGTCAGAAGAAGCGCGGCGGCAGTTCCCGGGGAGCTGCAGGTCGTGGAGCCCGGCGGGATGCGGACGACATTGAAGACAAGCCACCCGTTTTTGGCATGTTTTATCCAGATCGGTACATGGTTGGCGTCGATTGCATCCTGGTTGATGGAATGTTCGTCAGTAGGAGCAGGTTTGAGAAGGTGAGCTACGTAGCCTGCCCGGCGACGTGTAATTATATGTTGGCCGAGGAGCCCCGGAGGTGTGCATGAACGATAACATCAGAAGCAGTATCAATATCAGGGTTAGGGTAAGCGCTCCGCAGTATTCCGCACCGCTGAACTGGGTTTAACCAATACCTTCAGGCTTTCTAATTCTTCCCCTGTCTACTACCTTCCGACCCACATGCCTGCCGGCCTCGCGTCCAACCGCTCCTATCCACCACAAATACATCCCCGGCCAGCAGCTCCCAAGCCATCCACTCTGCCCTCCACCACCGTAACCCTCCCTTCTCTTGCTGGTCCCCTTGTCCCCTTGCTCGTCCCAACCGCTTGCCTGAACAGCTTGGCGGCTCGCTGATGGCCAAGTGGTACAGAAGCATACGCGTAGTTGACACCGCGGAGCCCTTGGGGGCCTGGCTTGAGCGCCACAACTTGCCGGTGTTCACTGGAAAGGCGCGGCAACGACGCCAGCGTGGCGCACCATCTACTAATGCCAGCGCCGCTGCAGCAATGGCAGCGGCATCCGCGGCTGCAGCGGCGAACACTAACAATACCTTGGCTGGGGACACGGACAAGAACAGAGGGAGCAGCAATAACTTGGGCTTGGACGTGGACGCCGGCACGAGCGCCTGCGGCACAGACGGCGCATGGCCTGCGTGTCTGGATGTCAAGGCGGAACCTGAGAGGTTTAGTGCGATGGGTGCGGGGCTTGCGGTTGGCGAGGCACTTACTCCCGGCCATGGCGGCAGTGGTGGCAGCGGCAGCGACGAAGGTTTGGCTGCGGACCTGTCCGTAACACAAAGATCTCGCCCGGGGTTCCCCGCGGACAAGATGTCCCGACTGGAAGGCACGCTGGGTGTGGACAATGCTGATTATTGGCAGGGTATGCGTCCGCTGATGTTGGGGCAACGGTCGATGATGATCGGGATCCACTTGTCCGACACGGAGGCGTTAAAGGTGGGCTTTAATGCTGCCAGTTTGCAGCAGCCCCTCCACGCCTCCACCGGCAACAGCGCTACGGCATCGGAGCAGTCACCACGAGCTACAGCTACTGCTGACGACTCTGCCATTGGCTTTGTTGGTTCTTCTAGCGCTGGAGTGGCCTACGCGGCTGGAGGCAGCAACAGCGGCGCGATCGCAGGCCGGCTGTCGGCCGGGGTCTCTGCCACTAGGGGTACCTGTGCTGGCCTAGAGACGCTGCCAAATGGTGCTGTTGCGCCAGGTGTGTACCTCATAGGCGGCAGGATGGCGCCAGGAGACCATGCAACGCAGCAGCCAGCGGAACAACAGCACTACCACATGCTGTCGCAAAGGTTGCAGCCGTCGTTATCTCAACAGTTAACCCAGCAGCAGCTTCAGCAGCCGCAGCCGGATCAACAGCAGAAGCTGCAGCAACATCAACATCAACAGTTTCAGCAACAGCAAGGGTACCTGCCGCAGCGCCAACAGCAGGGGTTTCAGCAGCCGCCATTCGTTGGCGGTCGGTACTTGGGCCCCGGTGATAGTTGTGCCCCCCTGCCTGCGCAAGATCTTGCACCCAACTCGGTGTATGGGCCCACCCCTCAGCTTTCAAACCTTTCTCATACAGCACTCGCAGCCCGTGACAGCTTGGCTTGGGGCCCCGGCAGCTTGCCAGCAGGTGACTGCGCATATGACGGCGCAGCTTGTCCACCTACGGGCCTTTCCATTCGGCGGTTCGGCAGCGATGGCGATGCCGGACTGGCAGCCGGTGCCCACACGCTGGGATGTGCAGGCCCCTCGAAGTTAGCTGCTGAGGCCACCGTTATGCGCGCACCAGCTGCCGTGGGGAAGGTTGCCGGCGGTGGCTGCTATGGGGATGTCAGTGCCGTTGCCGGTTGTACCGAAGCAGGGGAGCTTTCTTTAGCGCCGGCTTCCTCCTGCCGCCTGCCCGAAAGCACTTCTCTAGAGTCTGCCCCGACCACCTCTTCAAGCCGTTGGACTAGCAGTAACTTCGTCCTTAGCCCAGGTGCGGGTGGCCTGATGCAGTACAATTCGATTGATCCCGTCAATGAGGACGGCGGTCCTGCCGGACGGCATGACTGGGACTCGGACAGTTGGGCTTACCCGTGCGGTCCCCTGCCACCGGATATGTCAGCGCCGGCGCAGGTGCCAACCCCAGCGCAGTACGGTCAATATGAATTACAGCAGCAGCAGCAGCAGCTGCACAAGCAGTTGTACCCGGCAATGTCGCGGCAGCAGATGCACGACCCGCAGCTCGGTGCTCCACCAACCGTCTGGCCGCAGTCACGCACCAAGCCGCAGCAGGAGGAAATAAATCGCACAGCACAATCCCCGTTTGTGCAGGTGCAGCAGCAAGGTACCGAGCAGCAGTCCTTACAGGGGGACAGCTCGTCGTTCTCCGTGTCCGGGGGGGCCCGCGCCCAGTCCCAGCTGCAACCTGCGCAGGGTGGCGTGAGCGTTGCAACAGCGATGGCACCGCCGTTTCCAGAGGCGATTGACCCCGGGCTGCCGTCCTTGGTATCGCCGCCTGTATTGGTACCGGCGGCCACTGCCGAGGCGACGGATAGCCCGGCGCAACTCACACCCCAAAAGTCCGGTCATATGTACCCGCCCTCAAGCCGCCATTGGCCGCCGTACAGCAACCATTACTGGCCGTGCCATCCATACCCGCCTGGGCACACACGAAGTGTGCCGGGAATGCCGCCGAGGCTTCCGGTGGGTCCAGGGGGCCCTGTTAGGCCGTACCAAAGGAACGTGTACCCTCGCGAGATGACTCCGCCGGCGCCGGCACCGTCTCCCGCGCCGTTTACCCCACCATATGGATGCTATTACTCGCATCCGTACCCCAGACGAGGACTTCCGCCGACCACGTATCGTCGACGATATGCGGCGCCAGGCCCAGGGACCGTGGATGTGCCACCAGGCGTATACGGCGCTCGGTATGAGGCTGCCGCCCTAAGCGGTCCGTACGTTCCTGGCAGGCCGGAGGTGGAGGCGCCGATGGATGGCGCAGCCGCCGGCTCTATGTTGCACCCAACGACAAGCGCATGCTTGGATGATGTGGGGTTATCGGTAGCAGGCACGTCGGCGTGCATGCCCGCGGCCCCATCAGTCTCCCGTGCGCCTCCTGGAGGTGCTGTAGCAGGCGGCGACAGCACGTGTGGCACAGCTGCCGGAGCTGCGTCTGGACGCATGAGCAGCGGCGGCGCTGTCATGCCACAAACGGAGCTGCAGCCGCCGTCATTGCCGCTGCAGCAGCAACACCGCGGCATTGCGACAGCGGCTTCCATGACGACGGCATATCCATACAGTTGGGCTTCAACTCCGCAGCACGTCGCCAGGCCATTCCCCACTAACAGCCGGAACCAACATCCGCAGCACATGCATGAAGGCGGCTTTGCAGCGGACATGGGCATGGGGTTGACTTCGAGCAGCGCCGCGGCCAGCTACAGGCCCCAGGTGCCTCATCGCCAACTACAGGCTACAGGTGCCTCATCGTCAACTACAGGTGCCGGGCCTGCTCTTGGACCGCCGGCGGGGGGGGGTGCGTTCAATAGTCTCCCTACTGCATCTTCGGCTTTAGCGGCAGCATCAGCAGCGGCCGGTTCGGGGTTGTTTGTCCCGCCGCCGACTGGGTCCGCGGCGACAGCGGCGTCAGTTTCAGGTGCTGCGGGTGTGTTCCCAGCCCTGTGCGGTGCCGATGGTGACGTCGACCCCATGTGGGCCCACTTCCAGTGCTGGAGTGCTGAGGAGGCTACCCGAGCCCCGCAGTACATGTAGAATGGGAGGCGGACTGTATCTGGACGGCAGCGGGGCGTCTCTGGGCCTTTTGTGAGCAGCGCGCCTATGGCAGCAGCAATTCATAGGCGGGCTTGTAATGCAGGATGTCTTAAAGCGGAGCGGGATGGCTAAGAAAGGGCCTTATGCAAGTATGTATTTATGGTTGACGAGGAAGACTGTTGCCAACATGGTTAGGCGGTCGGGGAGAGGAGCTTTTGCAGCGTTGGCAGAGGCGGCTGGCTTGATAGGCGAATGTGCCCGACGCAACGGTACAGTAGTCGCGTGGCTTTAATCTGTGCCGCAGGGCTTTTATGCTTAATGTTATGCAAAGGTGTTTCCGGCGTCTGTTTGACATTGTTGCAATTTTGACGGGGGAAGTTGGTTGCATATCACCGCCCATGATTAGCACCCTCGCTGCCTAGCCGTCCGGGACAGCGGCCCTTCATAGAAGGAGCGGTGTGGTTGGCCGATCTGCTGGATATTGCTACCTTGGGGGCGTGGGACGTTGGGGAATATCTCTTTCTCGCACCTCGTCTCCTTTCGTGCCATCACCGCCAGGCACACCACTCGCGTGTGTTGCGGCCTCGGGTCACATATTGCCGCAGGAAATAAAGGAGTAATTTGCGTGGACCCCCCCCGTGTGCCTTTCCAGGCGCGTTAGGATTGTTTTCCCACGGGCGGCTCCTTTTTGGGTCGTTCGCAGACCTCGTGGTCTTGTGTAGCCCAAGCCGCTCGAGTCGCGCCTTTCCCACCTCGTGTGCGGAGTGCCGTCTCGAGCCGCACTGTGTGGAAACTGTCCGCAGTTGCGGCTCTTCTAAGTTTAAGCTGCCGCTGGGCCGCCTGCCGTTGCCTGCATGTGGACTGGTGAGCATCGCGTAGCGGAGCACTGGGCGCTTGTATGCGCAGTTTTCGTGAAGCGCCTTTAGTAGCCACCATGGAAGCGGCCAGCCGCGGCGGCGGGCGCGTGTGACAGACAGCTACGGATGCCGTTTAGCTTCGTATGGACGGGTGGTGCGTTCCTCCGCTGTCCGCTCGTATGTCATTGCGCCGCCATGGCGGAGAAGAGAGGAAATGTAGGTCTCACCGGCCGCCGCGCTAAGGTGGACGGAGGAGTGAAGTGAGGGAGCGCAACGAGGCCCGAGAAGGGCCGATGGGGGATGAATGGAAGGGTGGAGAATGCTGTGCGCCTGACGGTACATGCAGTCGGCGCCGCCGCCATCGCCCCACCGCAAGGTGGGGCCGGGCTCCGTGAGGTTTTGCATACTGGACGGCGCGGCTTTTCTGTTCCTAGGATGCATGTACACAATGTGCATTTTTTCTCTTCGATTTCCTGTGGCGCGGTCAGTAAGGTACCTAGGGCTTGGTGCTGGCGGCGCATGGGGTCATAATGTACGTGGGCTCCCAGCTGGCTTGCAGGAGGAGACAGTTGTGCTGGCAGATGCGGTGGTTTCCACGTGCAAAGATGTTGATGCCCTGAGTTGGGCCGCTACGGCGGTTGCACGGGGCGTGATCCAGGGCCAAGTTAACTGATTTTTGCTCGGCTGGTTGGGTCTCTGCAGCGGGCGTCACATTAATACGCGTGCGAAGTGTGATGTGCGTGCGTGCAGGTGTTCGTTGTTCGATGTCGGACAATTGGGGAGGGGCTTGAGGGTCCTTGGACTTCCTCGTACGTCAAGATGTTGGCGCTCACCCGGGCGGCAGGGTTTGGGGATAGCTTTTGCAGTGTTGCATCATCATTCTTGAACCCAATTTGACAAGGGGAATACTTTCAGTTTGGCCGTACACGTTGACGTGCTGTATCTTGATGCAAAAGATGGTAGTTGCATTCTTTGGAAATGGTTTTGGATGCGAGACTGTTTGCATGCTCTTGGGTATGATGGGTCTACTCTTCTTCCTCTTTTAGACCGCCCTTTCCTCTTTCCCGTTTTCACCTCTTTTGGGGCCGCTCGCATTCGGTTGCCTTTTCCGGCTTCCGATGTGTTGTTCCGAATACCTTTCGACACCTTCCCTCCCTAGTCAGTCGGTGGGTTTGATCGTGTCACCCGCAAGGCTGGCAATCGGTCCAGTGCCCTGTAGCGGGTGTCGCAGCTGCAGTGAAAGCCCCATTTTGACGCGGCAGAAAGCTAGGCGAATGGAGAGGCTCGGATCGATGGCGTTGGAAATGAAAAGGAGCAGGCGGTGGCTGGCACGAGGGGCAACGGGGTAACTGGTGCAGGGCGGTTTGTTTAGGCATGCTAACACATGTCGCTTAGGCATGTTTGCACCGCGACACGCCATGCGCGCGCGCCCAGGTATTGCATGAAGCAGCAAATGTTGGAGATGCACACATAGGAACGCGGGTGTGGCCGCACCACACACGGACATCATTAATACCACGGACGTCACAATTGCGAGCGCCCCGTAGCCGTGGCAGGCGTCGCGGCAACGGAAACGTTTCGGATAAAGGCCCCTGCGCCAATCTATAGGCTCCGGCCCCATGCCGCCGTTTCGTTTGGCGCTGGCAGCTTACGTATCTCAAAAGCGCACACGTGCGCATGCCCACGTATGCATATGTTTGAATTTCACAGGGCTATTTCGTTTTCACTTGTTGTTGTCAGGCCGAAGGGATGTGTACGCGTTCCTGCGTCCGCCTCGGGGGACCACGTATTGAGAAAGCCCGCTCGTGCTAGCCATGGCCTCGCACCGGATGTACAGTGTATAGCCAGGTCAAGCCAGCATGGAGTTCTCCTTGGTGTCCGGAGAACCTTACAACGGCTGGCAAAGCGATCGACAATTTGATCGGACGTGAACATGCTACTGCTTGGTATCGTGATGTATATCGCACCACGGAGAATGTGAAGACGCAGTGGGAGCAAGCGATGGGAGTGAGGGGATGGGAATAAAGCACGGGCTGGCCCATGTAGATTAAATATGGGGATTGTTGGCGCGTCGGCTTATTAGCTAGTTACTTAGATCCTCCTGCTGCAATTGATACAGCAGGGGCCCAAAAGGTTCCGCTCCATCTCGGAGCAGGCGTGCGGTGCTGGTGATGCCTAGGTTCCTCCGTTGCGGCTGAAGCTATTTCAGCGCGTGTCGGGTTGTCGTGGCCTTCAGCTGATGCGCGCGGGGTACAGTGTAAGCACACGATTGCACGCTTGGGTGGTTCGGTTCGGCTCTGTTTAAGGATACCCCGTTGGTTACTTCCTTGCATACCCTTGTTGGCCCCGGTTAGCCCCAGTTAGCGACGTCTCCAATTTGTATCTGTTTCACTTCAGGTTGGTTGAACATACTCTTTGGCTTATTTAAAGTTATGCGTGCGTGCACACACACTCATAGAACCTGTTGTTTTCATGGGTGTTGCACTCGCATACAGCCTCTCGTGCGAACACTTTTACGTACTGCGAGTGGTCTCTCGTTTTTCCCTCCCTGTCGCGTGCTTGGGTGTCCGCCTGTCATTTGTGGAGCAGCTGACATGCAGCCGGTCGCAATTGGCGGACGGGTCCTTGTGTCCCTCTGTCAGTTGTCCAGCTGTTTGATGCGTTGGCGGATCTGTGGAATAATGAAATAGACTTGGCGGCCTCCTGCATCCTCAGCCACCACCTATACACGACCTCGCAACGTTGGCGTACTACAGTACCGGATGCAGGGTGCAAAACTGGCCAAAGATATGTACTACTGCAGTGTTTTTATTTTGCGCAATCACTGTTCCAAGTTTGTCCAAGACCAGTACCTGTCCGGATGCGGTGGCCCCGGTTGTAATAGGTTACGGTTGAAGACCAGGGTCTTGGGTTAGGAAGTATCTCCGGGGACAATGAGGTGTACTATTGTGCTTGCCATGTGCGCTGCGTGTCTTGCCCATCGGTCGTCCACCGGCTGAGGCGCAGCGAGGCACCTATCCCTTAGGCGATACACATGGCCGACGGGCCAGATCGGCATTGCCAGGCGACCCGGTCTGGTTCTGTGGATTGAGGTGCTTGGGACGGCCTCGAAGCTGCTTCGAGGTCGGGAAACCAGCGTGCCGGCACCCGTCTCTTCGCCGCGCTAACGCATGACGTTGTATGGCAGTTTGAGTCTGTCATTGTTTGCCCTGGGTTAGTGTGGGCGCGTAGCTAGTGTGGTAAATTGGCTGAAGCTTAACTCTCGCAGGGGGGGGGTGTTTTTACATTACATCAGAGTTGACCATCCTCCTAGGCGCGGCCGCTGCAGCGCGGGCAATGGCACGCCAACGGAAGCGAGGCTCCGAGGTACGGCGTGCGTTTTGCTATTGTTGCAAGGCTGCATTCACCGAATATTTTCACGATATTGCGAGGGGCTTACGACGATCTTATGGTATAGCGACATGCATGACAGCATGGTGTGTACGTTCCCGGCTTTTGGTGTTGATGACTTTGCCTACTCTTGTCTGCAAAGTATCTGGTCATTAAGGCACTAGGGGCTTGCATTGCGCACACGCTCCTTCTTGTAGTGGATGTTTCATTGCACTTGCGGTTTCGTCGTACAGTGCAATTGTCCTCCTTTGATAATCTTTGCCAGCTATGTTGATTATACTTGGTATTAGGACTTATGTCGCACTGGAGGCGCTGCTCTGCGTGTAGAGTTGCAAATGAAATATTGCAGAGCAGCCTCGCTCCACGGTCTCGCTGTTTTTTGTTACGGATGGAAAGCCGCCGCGGCCATGTCACGGTTGCCAGTTAAGAATGGGCTGGCTAACGTTTCCTCGAATCTTGTAGCTGTTGTCCTACCCACTGGAATTTGTCCGGACAGACGTGCAGATGAACTGCATTAGGTTTCACTTTACAGTAGGAGGTTATACATCAGTAAGCTTGGACTGTAATAGCCAGTTCACATGCTACGTTACGTTGAAACTTTTTGGAAAAAGTGGTCGGTTCGGACTGGTAACGGTACGTTACCGGTAAAGTGGACGAAAAGTCTAAAGTGACCAGGGGGGGGGGGTCAATTTCGTCAAACGCTGACCCCTCGTACCGTTACTTGAAATGCGTCGCCAATTTCGCGAGTTATAACAAACGGCCAAGCCCAATCGCTTATAAAGACCACATACTTGACAAATTGTGCGCGCTTTGCACTCCGACTGAATTTCTAGTCACACCGCTGCCTTATATTATAAAAATGAACAAGGATAACGCCGCTCGTGTTGCTCGACCGCTCACGACCGCTTGCATAGCCAATATGTAACCCATTGTAGTATCAGGGCTGAAGCCACCCGCGAAACGGCAAGTCGGCCGCACTTCCGGCGGCATGGGCCGCGCCGCGTCGGCCCACACGCTCAATCTCTGCCACTGAGCATTGAACATATCTTCAAGATTATCAAAAATTTTATCCAGCGCGACCGCTAGGGCAAACGCCATCGCGGCTCGTGCGGGATGCAGTGCCATTGCAGTAGGCAGGGCTGCCAATCACCCTTCAAATATATATTGCAATTCTAAGGGGATGTTCTGAAGTTTTGGCCATTGAAAGACATAAAATGGAGATGGTTTTACACAGCTCGCGCCAACGAATATAACGTCGTCGTAATGTCCCGTGTGAACTGGGTGACTTTCTCAGGGCCACTTTTACCTAAAAGTTTTCGCAACGTAACGTAGCATGTGAATCCAGTATAACCACCTTACACTTCGCCAAGACTTTTCACTGAGTGATAATCTCTTTTACGTCACGTTGCTAAAAAATAAAGGTTGCTAGTATAAAGAATACCCTAACAGCAGCTTGTGAAAAGTTGAACAAGAACAGTCCGGTTTTAAGATTAGAGCTTACGTAACGGATTGAAAAGAGTATCAGCAGCGTTGGCTGGGCATTAATTGTTCAGTCTTGTCCACCTGATTTAAGACTTAAACGAGACTGTAAGCTCGACGGTGAACTACGGCTACTTCAGTTGGGTGCGTATGCCTATGCAGGTTAGGGTTGTACGAGTCCACTGCAGCTACACAAGGTTGCTGGCTATGCCAGACAACTTTTGAGTACGACTAGAAACAGTACGTTTTCTCTGGTTGTAAGGTAATCCAGGGCGATAACAAGTGAACGGCTGGGCATACCTTCGCGTCACGAGCTTTTCCTAATTTTACTTGTATCAAATGTGTAAGCAATACTTTGCTTGCGCAGTGCACCAGCTCTCAAACCGCAGCAGCAGCAGGCAATTACACAGGCACGGCAGTCTTCGACGACGCCGAACATCCTCCACCGGCGCAAGTTTTCCCAAACACTTCCAATCCCGAATGAAAACGTCAGGGATGAGACACATGAATATGAGCCAACGTCTTCGTTTATTAATTGCATTCCACCAACTCAAGCAATATCAGCAGCAAAAGGCGGGGACACAGCACGCCGTAATCGGCGACGCAGAGTAGGCTATGTACACATCTTCAGCGACGTCGAAATTGTTGGTGAGAAGTGCCTGCCGACGCGTCCCAATTAACAGGGCCAACGTTTGATGGGTTACCATCGCGACAGCACGTTGTCACAGGTTACGGAGGAAAGACCTGCCAAACCAGAAGGTGCACTCCGATCGAGGTAAAATAATCCATCCCCGCGCATTCACGTACTTATTCTTTAGACCCATATTTATCTACCAACATCAAAAATCGTGACGTACACCTTCCCCGCAAAATGTCTTATTTCTCGTTCTAGAAACAGTCCAAAGGTTATTATGGTTTAGGGAAAGGAATGCGAAAAACACACCTTCTCCGCACCTGCACATGTATTCCTGTCGCCCTCTTTGGGTTATGACCCAAAGTGGCACTGTGGACAGCGGTCGTGAGTGTTCTCATGCATAAAATTGTTGTCACTGTAACCCAAACTAAATGTCCATCATACCATTCACGAGACTGTCTAGCAAAACGACAAACACAATCCAATCAAGCATGTACGCGTGGGTACGCTGATCGTACCCACAAGAGATCTACTTGCACTGTATCATCATCTTCATGTCCCCCGCGGGGTCGGCCACGTTGGCTGGGATAAGGTTAAACTTGTCCACCAATACGCTTACTGCCTCCGGCGTCAGGAAGGCTGGCAGACGTGGGCCAAGACGGATGTTGCGTACGCCTAGATGCAGTAGCGTCAGCAGCACCGCCACCGCCTTTTGCTCAAACCACGACAAGTCCAGAGATAGGGGCAGGGAGTTCACGTCCGTCTTGAACACCTTGGCCAGCTCCGTAGCCACCACCAGTGCACTGTATGCGTCATTGCCTGCAGCAAGGGAAATTTAGCCACACAGGTTAGGCAGGTGAACATGATAAAAGCCTGTACACCTCAACGAAGGATGGCAACATTAAGCGAATAAAGATTTGCCAAACAGGGGGCATACGCAAATGAGAACATGTCCATGCCGTAACTCACATTGCCCCATATCGAGCAGGCGTGGGATGTTGGTACCGGGCAGCATGCCGAAGTCCTGGTCAAAGATGCGGAATTTCCCGCAGCCCAGCGTGAGCACCATCGTGTTAGTTGGCATGTATTGATACAGCTTGGAGTAATACTTGCGCTGCGGCTCCGAACCGTCACAGCCGCCCACCAAGAAGATGTGCTCCAAGCGGCCGGACTGGATAGCATCAACCACTTGCGGCGCCACGCTGAGAACCGCGTTGTGCCCGAAGCCAACCTTAGGCAGGAACCAGGGAGCCAAAGTCAGAAGCTGTGCACATACAAACGGGCTGGTGATACCTTGCAAGTTGGGCAGGAGTCCTTGCACGGGCACACGTCTTGCGGCGTGGGCAGCACTCACCGTTACATCCTTTTTCTTGGGCCGCTTCTCCACGTCCTGAGGAGAGAAGCCTGGGAGCTCCAGTGCACGCTTGATGATGGGACCGAAGTCCTTGTGCCCTGAGCCATCAGCCCGGATGTGCGGTACGCCAGCCAGGCCAGTCTGCAGGGCGAAAAGGAGGCAAGCGACAAAGCAGCAGCTTGCAAGGCACTCAAAATCAACAGGTAACCAAGCGCCATTGACGTTGTGTACGTTCGCAAAGCTTACCTCGTTGATTGTGAAGATGTTGTCCTTATACGCCTGGAGTGGGTCAAGCACGCAGTTGGTTGTGACCGCGATGGCTCCCGGGAAGTCCGCGAAATCGACCTTTTGGCGATACCAGGCGCCGCCGTAGTGCCCCACCAAGTGGGGGTACTTCTTCAGCCCCGGGTAGCCGTGTGCAGGGAGCATCTTCACGGGAAGCGCAAAACAACACAAATATTGACAGAACAGTTATCGGGACAGCTGAATACGAGTAAGCTTGCAGAGCGAAGCGCAAATAGCATACGCGCAAGCGTCAACCTGGCTATCCATGCCCCAGCACCCCTCGCGTGCTCACCTCTCCGTGAGTGTACACATTGATGCCTTTGCCAGCAGTCTGCTCCAGCAGCATGTGCAGGTCGTGCATGTCGTGACCAGTGACTAGAATGGCTCTGCCGGGCACGGGGTTGAGGCTGACGGGCGTGGGCACGGGATGACCGAAGGTACTGGTGTGCGCGTTGCTGAGCATCTGCATCACCCGGAAGTTGGTAGCGCCGGCCTTGAAGCAGTGGTCCAGGACATTGCCCACGTCAGCTGCCGCGGGGCTGCACAGAAAGTGGAGCGATTCCTGCGCACGCATTCAAAAAATATACGGTTACTTGTGTAGGCAAGGATTACGGCCTAACGCTTATGAGAAGCAATTATCTCGCAATAGCCGTGTTGCAATAGCCATGATGCTCAGCCTACTGAGCGTACAACTTTAAAAACACGTACGGCCTCGCCAAGGCAAGCAAGGCTAAAAAGGGAAGCTCGTCCACCGAGCAGACTACAAAAGTGGATGGCCGATGGACATAAGATACGTGTATCTTATCTTACGTGTACTGCATCACAAGGAAGGTGCTGCCGTTGAACAGCTGGAAGCAGGCACGCACACATACCTGCACATCGGCGTACACGGTGGGGTCTGTGTGTCCCAGCGCCTCGGCATGATGTGCATAGGCTGCCAGACCCTTGAGGCCGTACATCAACAGCTCCTGCAACCCCGCTAGCGTCTCGCCCAGAATCTCCTGGCGCGCCTTGATACCGGTCTGCACGGAAGGCAAGCAGCGATAATGGGAGCGGCCGTTGTAAAATGAAGGATTAGATAATTACAAGCTGCGAACGCTCAGTCAGCAGCTAGCGCTGCAACCCGAACCGTAAACGGTTCTTTTACGGCACGGATGGGCAAAATAGATGAGGCGGCACTGGCACGTAGAATCAGGGGGCAACCGCAGATTTGGGTCAGGGTGAGTTTTGAGCAGGTGCGCTACAAGCTCTTGGTGTGGAAGCATGCGTTGCTGCGTACCTGATGACCGATTTCAATCATGTCGCCCACGCCGCCAAGAGCCACAGCCTGGGAGTTCCACTCAAGCGGGTGGGGCATGGAACCAAACCATGGCTGAACCGCGGCAGCGGACATCGGAGGGGTCACGCCGGCCGCGGTCAGCTTGGCCATAAGCTGTGCGTGTAGCCGGCGGCAGTCGTTAACAAACTCGACAAAGCGGTCATCGGCGAAATTAACGTTGGTAAGGGTGGAGAAGATGGCACCGTTAATGAAGGTGTTAACCTCTTGATCCTCGATGCCTGCTGAAGAGCGCGCGATGTGAGCAAGGCTGCCGAGACCCTTGACCGTGTAGATTAGGAGATCTTGCAGCGCTGCCACCTCGGGCGTCTTGCCGCAGATACCTGCATCCGATCCAGGTGTGGATTATGAGCTTAGGTAGAAAGATGCAGCCACGCATAGGAGTGAACTCTTATTCCTAGCACAGCACGAAACGCATTTTTGACAAAAATATTCCTTACAAAATTATTGCTTTTAGGATTTGTTAAGATGTTAAGGCAGGCTCTGACAAGCGAGAACTATTCGAGTTAAAACTGTACCGGTAGTCTAGTTACCTACCAATTTCAGTACATCCAGTTCCACCCCTCGTCTGCTCGCACTGGTAGCACATCATCTTGTCTTCCTTGAGGGCCTGGTTGGCAGCTTCCATGCGAACCTTGATAGATGCCATGTCGCGAAGCTGTTGACAGGAAGGGCCCTCAGTTGGTGTAGTTGGCAAGTAGGCAAGAATTCGCTGTGCGGAACGTCCAGTTGAATGTCCAATAGAACCCGCACGGAGGAGGTAAACGTTGCCTCCAGAAATCTTGCTACCAAAGCGGAAGCCAACCGACGACAGGCAACGCGACAGCATTCTCGAGGTGTGTAAGGAGTACTGCAAGCTGGCTTGGCTCGTGTCGAGGCACCGGAAAAGGGATTTCCAAGCGGTTAACTTCACTCCAAAGTGGATTCGCGAAACAGTTTTCTCGTTCCGAAACAGGTCTTTCGTTTCGATCTGTAACTCGAGAGTATGTACAAACAAAAAGCAATAGTATACTGTTGCTTGAGTTAATGAATTACTGTCATTTATCACTGCTTATGTGTCCCGGGACCTGCCTCTTTGTCAGCTGCCGTACACCTTTAAGGGGCGCTTCCGGGTCACATGTTCCAATTTGTACCATGTACCTAACCCATGTCATAAGGAACATTCCTGCTGCTATTTCGTAATAGGTCAACGGCCGAATAACTTCCCCACTCCATGAATGTCGAGACACTTTGCAGCAATAACCTCGCGAGAAAATAATTGATGCATGCGACATGCATGGGCAAACAATAATCAATAACTGTCGAAATATGTCCAACAAATTATCCTCATATCTTTCCTCCTTGCGTGTTTCAGTGGTTTAGCTTTTTTCCGGCTCATTCGGATGTATTTCCAACCGTTAAATGGTAGGAATGCTCCTGGGTACCGGCGTAGGAGTTATCAAAAGCCTACCGCCCCTAAATATTTCCAGCGACAAAGCCGCGCGACAAAGCTGGATTAGTAATCAAAGGCTATTTCCTTGGACTGGGCGGTCGGAGATGCAACCGTCAATAACTGTATGCCACGGTAATAATCTTAAGTCTTCTTGAGGCATGCTGGGGGACCCGATTCAACACAACGAGGGCACTGCGCTTGCATATTGCTTTGATCATAACTTACAGAGGAAAATCTTCGCCAACGTAACGGAAAGGGTGATGTCCACAAAGCAGACGTATCGACCTTGCGGCTTGTTTTTTAGTTTCTTAGAGCCACTTCAGTTGTTGCAGACAAAGGCGTATGACTACTCGCTTCTCTCCAAGCAGGTGCGGGGGCAACGAATCATGGCTACCGTCAGTTTCAAGGGCATCGTTAAGCTTTCTAGTACAGGCAGTTGTGCATCGCATGCGATTTCTTCCAGAAAACCTTCCTGACCGCATCCCTATGTGGAACGAGGGTCGCGAGTTATAGTTGCTAGCACGCAGCAATTGTTCGCGCGCCTCTACGTTATCCTTCCCAGCGACCATTGTTTCCTGCCTACCGTCTCCTCCTTTATGCAAATGGATTCATGCTTGCTCGGCGGACGTGTTCCAGGATGCGAGAGCACCATCCTCCGCGGCCGCCGTAGCCCGGCCCGACTTCCTAATCGACCTTACCTTCCGGCGCGGTGCCATTAGCACCTGGCTTCAATCGCTCTCCAGCAGCGGGTCTCTTCGCGGGAACTTAATTCCAGATGTGGTGTTGGGGGACCTGGCAGACCTTGCCTCGCGCCTGGATGGCTTGACCCGCGCAGTTGCAGACGCAGCAGGTGGCCGCGCAGCCGCCGCGCAGGTACAGCTGGCCTCCGCTACCGCTGGGGCTGCGGCTGGGGCTGCGGCTGCTGCGACAATGGGCTGGTTACAGGTCGAGTGGACCTCGGCCCTGTCCAAAAAGTGGGTCAGGTGTGGCAGGAACTCTGGGCGGATGTGGATGCGTAATCTTCTCGATTCTCCTTGCGTGACGCCTGCCTCTTGACGGCCTTCGCGACCTGGACTGTACGCGAAAGGTGCTGCCTAGAGTCCATAGGGGCGTTAGGGTCTTCTAGGTTGCGGAAAGGGAAAGCAGCGGCCACGCCCCCTATCGTGGAGGCCCAGGGAAGGCGAAGCAGCAATAACTGCATTAAGGGCTTCCAGCTGCATCGCGAGAAACAGCAGAACCGGAGCAGATTACGGAGTCCAAGCTGATTGGTGGGACGGTAAATGCGGTCCAGGCGCGCCGCAATCCCCATCCGGAGTCCGTTGCAGCATCTCTTGCGGGCTCCCAAGGCCACCCAACAATCTCTTCGGCCTCCGAAGCCCTTACATCGCATCAGCTGCCTCACAAGCAACAATAACCAAAGTGGGGGCCCTGGCATGCCCTGGTGCTTATGGCGACTTGGCTGTACGACCCGCCCTGTGCGTTTACCACAGCAATGTTAGTTGGGAATTGGGTTGTTTGTATCCGTCGGGGCCGGGACCTGGAAGTGCTCTTGTCGTACCGCTTTTATCGCGCCGTTTCTTGTCACAACCTAAGCGGGAGTCACAATCAGGACCGGATCTACCCAGGGGGGTTTGGTGACCCTGGGTCGCTGTCGCCCAAGTTATTTTCAAGATGCTTTCCCTCCCTTCCTGGCTACGGAGATGATTCAAGAAGTCCATCCTACCTTTACGAATCATCTTGCACCAATTCGGTCGCTCAGATCAGTCGTCGTATCATAGGGACAGTACGCTTTAAACCGAAGCCAGCAGCACCGTGCGCTCCGGGTTCGGAGTTTCCATGTATCGTGTACACGTGTGGGTGTGTGACAAGACATGTTTTTTTGGTGTGCCGTACCGTGTCGTACAGGCCGCAGCGGTTCCTACGAATAGACTCCCTGCCGCAGGAGCTTGCCATGGTAAGGTGGTGACAATGATGGTGGGTACGACAATGATGGTGGTACTCAGGAAGTACGGGCACGATACGAAAACAATTCTTTTATGGCGGCTTTGATCATTCTGGGAGGCTGCAATGTACGGATGTACGGCCAAGAAGATTTAGTGCATGGGGTTTGGGCCAGAAGTTGCCAGCGGCCCACCCGTCGCTTACAGTTGAAACATCAGGCTGGATCTTCCAGCCACGTAAATCTAAAAAGAACACAGAAGGATGAAAACTGTCAAATGGTCGTATCGTGTCGTTGCAAGCCTATGGACGCCGCTTGCCCTGCCGTCCTTCTTCCCGCCCTTCCCTTTCCATCCGTTTCACCCGCTTCCCTTTCCATCCGTTTCACCCCCTTCCCTTTCCATCCGTTTCACCCCCTTCCCTTTCCATCCGTTTCACCCCCTTCCCTTTCCATCCGTTTCACCCCCTTCCCTTTCCATTCGTTTCACCCCCTTCCCTTTCCATCCGTTTCACCCCCTTCCCTTCCTTTGCCAGGTATATACCGCCTACGCAGCTGCCCTCCGGCACTCCGCGCTCCAGCACTACATCAGCAACGTTAGCGGGCACCTGGCGGAGGCGGCGGCAGCGCCGGCGGGGTCGGACGGGGCGGTGGCGGACGCCGACAGCGGCGAGACGGCGGCGACGGCTGCAGCAGCGTCCAGGGTGCAGCCTGCACTGACGGCGGCAGTCGCGGGGCTGCGACGCGCGGCCGGCGTGTACGACTTCCTCGCGGAGAATCTGCTGCCGGCGTTACGGGGCGCGGGCGCGCTGGCAGCCGGCGACAGGTACGATGTGTACTAGTGTTCGGTGCGATGGCGGCGACAGCGACGACGACGATTTGCCGCTACAGTGTTGACGCGGTTACGCATGTTCTAGATTTTTTGCCGCGGACGGGAAACAGCTGGAATGCTGTAATGCCGTCTACCGAACGCACCACGGCGAGTACGGCGAGTGATGACGTGCATGTCGCCATGATCGGCGTCTTCTCACCTCCCCCGCAGCCTGTCCGCCGTCTCATCTCGTTCCAACTTACAGGCCGCTGGAGCTGCTGCCAGCTGCGGCCCTCTGCATGAAGCAACTGTGTCTGGCGGAGGCTCAGGCGCTGGTGGCTGTGGCGGCGGAGGTGAAGGGCATGTCACCGGGCACGCAGCGGGCTCTGCATGCAGGCGCGGTTCGCTTTGAGGGGTTTGGGGGTTAGTGGGTTTCGTGTTTGGGTCGGGTTGGGGTTGCTGATGGCAATGGAAGGAAAGAGGGGGACTGTTGGAGGGCCGGGTGTGTCTGTGTGTGTGCGTGTGCGTGTGCGTGTGTGTGTGTCTGTGTGTGTGTGTTTGCCTCTGTGTGTGTGTGTGTCGGGGGGAATTATGGAAAAGTGCCGGGCGTTGGGTTTCGGGTATAGCCGTTGAAAGAACGGGTATGAGGTACGTGGGCTGGACGGACTGGCAACCACAGTGGGGCCTGCCCCGAAGTCCGCCTGGAAGGAGGGTGGGAGGGAGGGAGGGGTTGGGACCCCCCCGAAAGAAACTATTTTATTAACTCCCGCCTGGCTTTAATCCCCTTCTTTCAAGCGTTGGCATCCTGTTGGCTTTTGCGTAGAACCCCATGTCCTCCCTTTCGTCCCCCTTCCTACCACCTCAGAAAGAACACCAGTTTCACGCGCCATTGAGGAAAACGCAAAGGCAAGAAAGTTACGAACGTTTCATTATTTCCCGTCCCCTCTCAGGCTGCGTGTCGCTGTACCGCGCGGCGGCGGCGGCGGCCCAGGCGCTGGCAGCTGCCGCCCCATCCGGACTCCCCCTCTCTGACCGCCTGACCCACCGGCTGCTACCCGCCGCTGTGGCGATTCACGGGGCCCGAGCTCAGCTTTGTGTGGCCAGGGAACGGCAGATAGCTCTGGAACTGGGGGAGGCTGAGGCGGCGTGTGAGGTGGGGTGGGATGGGGACCGGGGACCCACCGGGCAGTGCTGGGGAAGATGCGATCTTGATCTTGATCTGGATCTGGATCTGGGTCCCGGAGCTCTTTTTGAGTATTCCCCGGCGGTTGGCGGCCCGACCCACGGATCTGCTTGACATTGACAGCGCCATGGCACCCCCACCTCCACCACCACCGCTCCGGGGTGCCTCGGGGCCCCAAACCCCCCTTACCCTGCTTCGGAGTTTGGAAGTAGGTGCGCTGTCCTCGTCTTTTGCGCCATATTCGAGCCCTCTCTCCCTCTCGCGATGGTGGACCCCCGCCCTCCCCGTCCCCCGCCGCTTCCCTCCCTTCAGGAATGCCTCCGGCTGCTGGAATCGGCGAGTCGGTATTTGGACCGCAGATGTGATTCGGAGTCCCCTGGGTTGGAGTTCGTGCAGGTAGGGGGGGAGGCGGGCGGGGGCCGGGGCGGGGGGTTGTTTTGCACCTTCGTGATGTTACCGATTTGTGAACAACCTTAGGCCCTCTTTATTAAAATACAAGCAACTACCAGCGGTATCAACGATATCAAAGTCACTGCCAGTCAGCCAGTGGGTAAGTCGGTAAGTCGTCCATCTAAGCAAGCCAGGCCCCAGGCAACACTCCTGCGCGTCTACCTGCAGCCGTCTTGTTGTCCAATGTGCTCCGTTTTCTTTCCGGCTTTGTTTATGTGTGTATGTATATATGTATGTATTCATGTACGTATGTACGTGTGTTTATATCCGCAGGCGGACCGGGCAGCCTGCACCGCGCTGCGATCTGCCGTTCAGCGGGACCGCCTGGCCGTCACCTTCCAGCCACTGCCCAAGCACCCGCCTGACGCGGTCGCCAATGCCGCGGTCCGCGTAGCGCCGGACGTGTTCCAGCCTGAGCCCGTGCTGCCGCCGGTGAGGAAACAATGGCGGATGATTCAGATGGAGGACCGATCCCAACACGCAGGTCGCGCGTCTGCTGTCGTGACCCGTGGGTCATTCGCGCACGTGGATCACAGCAGGGTCATACTAACAAAAGGGAGTGCCACCTAATCAAAGCGCAGCACTGGAGTGGCTTTTTATAATGGGGTTTAAATAGCTAATATGCAATCTGGAAGGCTTGCCAATGAGCTGGCACCTTTTCGGAACGGGTTGCGTCCCCGGGTAGCTCCCCTTGCCGCCCTGCCTGCCTCCCTCCCTCTTATCTATCTAGCCGGCGGGGCGCGGGTGGGGCCGTGGTGAGCCTTCCTGCACTTATCGGCCGGGAGGCATGTGCTCACCGTTGTTTGTGGCCCTACCAAGGATAGCTCCCCCGCCCGGACTGCAACTCCTCCCCGGTAACTGCCATTTCCCCCGCTACTGCTACTACTGCGTCTGCAACTGCGTATTCGGGAGAATGTAACTACCAGCTGCACCTGCGACTGCAAGCATGACTCAGCATGTGGCAGCGGCCACACATGATGCGCCTTATGTCGTACGGCCATGCGCAACCCACCGTGTCAACAAGCCCTGGCTGCTCCTGGGTTTGTATCCCGCCCCTTCCCGCTGCCCCGTAACCCCCATTCCTCTATGGCTCGCAGGCCCCGCCGGCAGATGTACAAGCCAGGAGTGGCTGCAACATCATGTGAAGAGATGGCCGGATGGGCGGTGAGGGATGCGCGGTGGATGCGACCCCTATCAGGAAACCTCAGGATCGCCTCCACCGGAACCTGCTGAGAAGCTGCGCAAGATGCTGAGAAGCTGCAGGGACAATCTGTTTGAGGCTCAGCGAAGCTTCGTGAAAGCCGAAGACGAGGCTGTAGGAGGAGTTCCTAGGCGGGTAGGCATGTTTTTGGATGCAAGTGGCCTGCGCACATTACCAGATGTGCCTTGTAAGCAAGGAAAAGCGGGGGGACGAAGCGGGAAGGCAATTTATTGTTGCGATTGCAGATATAGATTGGCAAGTAAAAGTGGGTAGATAAGATCTTACTGGAATATGTCAGAAACGACGTCGCGAAGTTGCAACGGTCACCCACAAGTACTCGTCCGTTTAGGGGTCCGCTGAAAAGAAGCGAGGATGGCGGCAGGGAGGAGACGACCTCTCGGATCGGATGCCGAAGTCAAATGCGACTTAACGCACGGGTTCGTTCGTGTGCCCGTGTTTCACCGCACATCCACCTGTGCAAGCCGTATTTCCATGGCGGCGCCATTTATGTGTGCGCCTTTGTGCACGTTGCGCGTGGACAGTGGCGCGTGGTCAGTGTCCATGGTGGTGCATTAGTTGTTTGCGCCCGGTTGGTTGTACAGCAGGGCGGGTGTTACCGCGCGAGCAGTAGACAGACAGCCACCCTGGTGGGTGCGGAATACGAGTGAAGGCGGTGATTGCCGTATGGCCTCACGCCAAATAGGCGTGAATTGAAAACCGGTCGTTGAGATGGCGCGGGATGAAGTCCACATGACTAAACCTGGGCGGATGAGTTTATTAGCCGCATGTACCTAACCCTGCTGAACATATATACTGTAGTTAACATGTAAGGGTGGGGATTAGCTCCATTGGCTTCTCACGCGGGTACGCTTTTGGCTGGTCTTACAACTCGACGGTACGGTACTTAGTACTGGAATGGACGAGCGTGGACCGCTTCGGGTTGGTCAGCTCATAGCTCATTTACGTGACCGGTCGCTGGGGGCCCCAGTTCTGCCTCCGCTCATCTCACAGTAACAGTTGTCACGGGGAACTTTATCTTGTATGAAAGTCAAAGAAGAGGAGACGTGCGAGGCGTTTGCACGTGCAGCGAATTGCGAATTAAAGTGTTCCAAGGGGAGCCAGAGATGAATCAAAATAGTCTGAATCGCATCGCCAGATATGAGTATGTGGGCAGCGTCTATTGGCATTCGTCGTGCAGTGCCGTGTGTGCGCGGGGCTACCCTAGCTTGAGCCATGCTTTGTTAAGGTACGGCATGAATGCAGACTGCATAGCAGCCAGACGGCGTATGCTACAGTGCGACTTATGCTGCCGTACTGCGTGAGAAACAGGAACAAAGAACCCAACCCTGCCTTGTTTTTTTGTTCTTGGAAGCTTCTGAATTGCACCAAAAATGATCCGGTTTATGAAATACGGCATTGGCCCGACTCGGGGCAGTTCAAAAACATGCAGTAATGCCGTGGCCGTTCCCAAATAATATAAACGCATGCAACACTTGTTACGCGATAACGGCCGATTGGGAAAATAGTCAGGATAAGAGCTTCGTTTCATTATTAGTAGCGCTGGATTGCAGAATACGAATGGGATTGCTTCCCCGCACAAACCAGCGGACCGTACATATGATCGCAGTGGCCATAAGATCAAGGCCGCAGTCCCTCACAATTGGAACTAAAGCGCATTCACGCATTGCATGTAAGCTTATGCAAAACCTCGGAAAACGGTGAAATGAGTTCCTTCGGTAACTGACCGGTAGGGTAACCGACATAACGAGCTAACGACCCAGTAACTGGGTGAGCTCTCTAACCGATAAGGTTACCGGGTCGTTATCTCGAAACGCCGGTTTACCGGTTGGAGTTACAGCTAACCGGTCTGAGGGACTCGACTGTTTCGCACCTTGAACGTCTAAATAAGCGTCCAAAAACGCAATTTCAACAAGCTATATTACTGGTCGAGAAAACAAAGAAGGCTCGCCGCTCACGAAGGTTGTGTCAAACCTGCAATCCATCACACGCGAATGGTTATCTACCCAACGAACAAGCAGCGGCTCCACATCCAAAGCGGCATCTTCGCGTCTAACAGCTTGTACGCAAACCCCTCACAAATTGTACGCCGCAAAGCTTTTCTTCGCCTCTTTAACATCCACCGCACCGCGGCCCCTGCCACAGTCAACAAACAATGTAATGGCGATGCGCATGATGATACTTTGCATGATGACCATTTGTACGCATTCTTGTAGCTACCAGTTTACACCAATAACAATACACGTGCTCAACGAATTAGTTCCACAATGCTAATGACAGCTACAGCCAGTCAGAGCAACATCAAAAGCCGCTCGAAGCATGTATACCATAAAAGGCCAAACATTTTAACCCCCGTCGCGACGGACGCTCGTACACTCCTGTACGAACCAACACCGAAAAGCGGCCCAACAAGCGCACTGAGGGATGCGCTAGGGCTTCTGCTCAAAGCCACTTCTGCAAGTAGACCAGTTCCAACACCCCGGCAGGCGGCAGCCCACACCACCTAAGCAGCTGTGTGAGTGGCACACGCAGCCGCCAGACAGATATGTCATCCACCGTTCAGTCAGTCATCAAGGGAAAAACTATGCCGGCCCGTATCCTCATTCTTGACGCTCCTATTCGCATCTTAAGCATTATGATGCGCTCTAAGACACCTGATATGCTCTTCATCGTCGCCATAAAAGGCCATCGTCGTCGTCTCTTCTGGCCATGCGAGTGCTCCAGGCAATCTTGGGTGTTCGAGGCCCCGTCGCTGCAGGCCCCTAGCCGCACCGTATATGAGGGCTCCTCAAGACGCTTTTTGAGACACCAGGTAGCTGAGGATGGTTGAGGAACGCCGGCCGGCAGAGCCGTGTGTCAGCCGGGGCCCTGCTGCTGCCGCCGCAACTTAATGACATGCAATGGTTGCGAAAACAGCTTTGATAAAACATTCTAGTTTTTCAGCATTGTTTAGATGCACAGACCCCGTACGAGAGCTGCGGCATTGATGGCAACGCGCGTCACCCACTGTCGACTATTTAATCAAAACAAGAACCGAAGGAGCAGCAGCAGCAGCAGAAACATCCACATTTTCTCGTGGCCAAAACAAAAAAGGATTTGCAATAATAGAATCAACAATTGGCCATTCAAACACATCAAAAGCAATAACATGAACAACATGCTCGCACGTATGCCCGAACCTTCCTTACCATTATCACTTATGTTTTCCAACGTGCCCACCACCACCAGGCAAATACATGAGCGGCAATAGCATGAAGGAGGCGCAGGAGGAGGCACTTCGTTCTGCCCGGCGGGAGAACACATTTTTCCTACCACTACATTCACCAGCTCAAAAAACACCTAACGACCTAACAAACATGGGAAGGATTTTCTATAATTTCGAACCCGCTCCTATTCAAGAACCCACTCGGAGCGACCGATGAGATCTCTCCCGCCCGAAAGGGTGGTAAGAATCTTTGCGACTTGATGGAGCAAAACCTTGCACGGCTTTGCAAATCCCGTCCTAGCGGACCAGATTCCGGTGAGCTGGCCGCGAGCCACAAAAACTCCCTCGCTTACAGAATCCTACCAGTCAGTCCACTAGTTCTTAAAGAAGGCATATTCTGCTCTCCGGGTCCATCAAGAAACAGCGGCAGCAGTTGCAGGAGCGATAACAGAAACAGTAGTAGCAGCAGCAGCAGCAGCAGCCGTCCTTACAGAGCCAACCTCGATTAGTGACAGGCAATGTCGTACATGCAGCATACCCATTAGGAGGCGCTCACAGTCGTCGCGAATGTCCCTCAACGTCCAGAAACACCCTGACGTCAATCAAGCCCACACAACAAGCTTCCGAAAGTGAGCTTGACTGAGCGGGCACCAAACCGTGCTCGTACGGTACGGAAAAGTGTCATACGGAAAGTGCTACCAAGAGGTACAAAGTACCATTATCCTGCGTTATACCATACAACGGCATACGTCAGACATCTCATAAGGTCCCTCCAGACACAAGTGCGGCCTGCGACAAACCCAAACCCTCGTTCCAGACTCGGGCTGCATTACCACCGTCCCGACGTAGCTGTTCGGAGGGGGATCAATCTCCGTATTGAACGATACGACGGGTTAGGGCGGGGCGCAGTCACCGCCGGCTCCGAAACCCTCCTCAAAGAAAGCAGCAGCCAGCCCAGCGGAGGCGCCCTCAGGCGACTCACAGGCCCCAGGACGACGCCGCGGTGTTGCCTGGAAAATGGGGAGGGCCGGGTCCTAGGGGTCCGCACCAGCCTAGCGCCGCCGTGCCGCCTGCAGCTGCCTCGCAGTCTTGAAGCCTCAGCGCCTGCTGGCTGCCCCCTGCGGGGAGGTGTTGCAACGCATTGGGACCACCTTGTTGCGGCTGGCCGAAGCAGCCCGTCGGGTGCTTGTGCGCCATCCTCCCCGCTAGAGCTGCCGCGGCGCCTGCATCCGCGCCGGGTTCGACTCCAACTCTTCCATCTCCATTGCCACCACTGCTGCTGCAGCCAATGCAGGAAGTGGTCAGGAGAGCGCCGCCGCCGCCGGCGGACCCAGCAGCAGCAGCAGCAGCCACCCTAACTCCCGAACAGTCCAGCGTCATGCTACTGCCGCTGCAGCAACCGCCGCCACTGCTGCTACTGCCTCCCCGCATGAGCCGCTCCACTCGCGCCTCAAAGCTGCCCGAGACACCGCATCGTAGCTGCACCAATGGCGGCTGTGGTAGTTGATGGGACGGCGGCGGCGGCGGCGGCTGCTGGGGCAGCGACGCCAGCGTTGTGGATTGGAGGCCCCGCGGGGCTCCGGAATTCCATAACACCTCGCCGCCAGTGGATGCAGTAGCGCCTCCCCCCACGCGTGTTCCGCGCAGTAGCTCCTGCTTCACCATCTCGATACGGTTCAGCGGTCGTGAGTTGGAAGGTTGCGACGGCTCCGAAGGCCCGCTCGAGCCTAGCAGCGGTGCCGCCCATTTCGAGGGAGCGCCCTGAGGAGTGTTATGCTCGAAATGCGTAAGGCTTCTTCGGCCGCCATTGCCGAAGTAGCTTACGAGGCTTACACCGCCGTTGGTAGTGGTAGTTGTGGCGGCGATCCCAGCACCACCGTAACCGCAGCTGTCCGTGCCGCCACCGTACGAGCGCGCTAAGGAGGGTGCTGGCAGTAGAGATGGCCAGGACGACCCGGCGGCGCCGTTGACGGCCCCGGTGCTCATGTGCAGTGATGCGGCGGCGTCGATGCTCCGACTGCCGCCACCGCAGCTCTGTGCGCACGGCAGCTGTCCGCCGCCAGCACCAAGGGCGGCGCCATTGCGAATATGAAGCCGCTCCGAGGCCGTGTCGGGTGCCGTACGGACAACGGTAACCATGGGCTGCGGTGCTGCCGCCACTGGCGCCGACCTCAACTGCCCACTGCCTTCCTGTAAGTCCCCATAACCTGACCAGGCCCAATACAGCCAAGCTGCATCTGCTTGTTCCGGTGATGTGTGCAGACCAGGCGGTGGCGCCGGCGGGGCGCTCACGCCGCCGCCGCCGCTGCCAAGAATGCTTTGCCCAGGGGCCCGCCCGAGCGAGTTTCCGCTGACAAAGCAGAAGGTGGCTGCTTCCCGCGGCGGCAACGTCGGCTGGGCCACGGCTGCCATCACGGAGCGCATGCTGTCGGCGGCGCCGCTGTCGTGCCCGACGCCGTTGCCACCGACCTCGACGCCCGGCGGCAGCTCCACAGACAAGCCAGAGCCCGAAGCCGGCACGGAAAAGCGGACAGGAAGCGGTGCCGCAGCCTGATAGCACATATCAATCCCGGTGGCAACGGAGGCGTTGGCGGGGACGCTGGCTGCAATGGCAGCCTCCGAGGCCGTCGCGTACGACAGGAAACTGGCCTGCAGCGGCTCGTCCGACGATACCTGTGAGCTGCAGCTAGGACTAAAGCGCTGTGGTCCACGCAGCGCAGCATTGTACGGCGGCACTCGAGCATCATCAACCCCAGGGTTAGGGGCGGTGAGAACCGGCAGACAGGCGGCTCGCCCGCTCGGCGAGCCGCCGAGCGGCGAGCCGCTTGGTAACATGTACGGATCAGCTGCGCGTGCTGACAGCGCCACCGCCGCTGCCGTTGCAGATGGCAGCAGGCTGCCGGAGCAAGCGACGCCGCCGGCGGCGGCGGTGACGGCCGCTGCCGGCTGATCAGCGAAAGGCCTTTCCGTGCCGAGGGATAGCCGAAGCTGCAGAGAGGGAGCGGCGGCGGCGGCGCCACCGCCGCCAGTAGGGCCTGACTTCGTCGCCGCCGTCGTCGCCTCCTTATCGGCTCCACCCCGGGAGTTGAATACACACCCATGACCAGATCCGGCCTGAGAAGTGGCAGGTACGGCGTCATCGCCGCTTCCCGTGCCGTAGCCGCTGGCGGCCGGCACAGGTGCCGTCGCAGCGTCACGGCCGCCACCTGACGTGCCGTCAGCGGCGGCGGCCGCGGCAGCGCGCTTGCCGGGCCCACCATCAGGATTGCCCGTACCGGAGAGGGACCCCGCGATTTTGTTACGGCCGCCCCCGCCGCCGCCGCCGCCGCTGCCGGCCTTAGGACCCGTCGCACGGGTCGCCACCTGGCCGTTGTCCTTGTCGTTGCTTGTGGTGCTAGTATTCATATCCGCCATCACCTGTTTGCGATTCCTGGAGGTTCCCTTGAGCACCTGTCAGCGGTTACAAAGTGCGATATGACCAGATTTAAAATTTTTTCCGCGGCTGCAGTACAGTGCATACATGTACGGGCATGCACAGCTCCGAAACCCCATACGCCATCGCAAATCAGTCGGTCTGGCAGTCTAGGTCACCATGCCCCGGATCCAGATCCCAAGAAACGGTTTTACTTCTCCCTAACTGACACTCGAAGACGTGTACATACATAAATGTATGTGTACTACACCTCCTGGAATTACATCATCCTTCGGCGGTTTCACGAGCGTATGCGGTACTGAGGGGGCTGAGGGGGCTGAGGGGGCTGACTGCCCCCTGAGGGGGAACGTCCCCTTGGCCGCTCGAAGGTGCCCTCCTCACACCCACCCTCTCTCTCTCTCTCACACCCACCCTCTCTCTCTCTCTCACACCCACCCTCTCTCTCTCTCTCACACCCTCCCCCTCCCACTCTCACCGGCAGTCCTCGCCGAGTAAGCCAGGTGCCCAGGGGCTCGTCCGTCGTGACCACGCGTATGCTTCTGTACCACTTGGCCATCAGCGAGCCGCCAAGCTGTTGGGACGAGCAAGGGGACAAGGGGACCAGCCAGAGGGGGGAGGGATACGGCGGCGGAGGGCAGAGTGGATGGCTTGGGAGCTGCTGGCCGGGAGGGGCGATAAGTCAGTGGTGGATGGAAACCATTGGACGCGAGGCCGGCAGGCATGTGGGTCGCACGTGGGAGCTGCTGGCGGGGGGGGGGGGCAATAAACGCTTCGCAATCTGAGCTCAGCGGGCCCGGGCTGGTCCGCACTAAGTGCAACCTGTCCCCCATGGGCGGACACCGCCGTGAGCAGCAACACCACGGGGGGGACGCCGCTGTCCCTTGTGCAGCACTCAGGTAGCCTACAGCACAACCAGGGAATGATCCTCTGTATTTTGGAGACAGCCAAGTACAGCCGTACAACCAAATTAATCATCGTCTGCATCATGCCGTACAGCCTACCCCGTACATGCAACGGCTACACATGTGCGGTCGCTGCCTTCTCGGGTCGCACCTTTTCGAATTTGGACCTCGTGATGAAGTTGCCCTGTGGCGCATGTACAAGTGAAAGGAATGTAAAGAAAAAGCCGTGTCAAAGGCTGGTTCGATACAGCGAAGCCTAGCAGTAGCGGGTAGAAGGGCAGGGATAAGGAGAGGACGGATAGGACTCGGTCCGTGCACACGACACAGGACAGGCGGTGGCAGAGCGGGACTTAGCTTTTAAGACACGGGCTGTGCGTGGCAGCACGGCGTGGAAATACGTGGCATGAAGAAAACGAAAAACATAACAGTGATGTACGGCAACATGCACGTAACGCATGCACGCAACTAGTAAGTGTACCTGCCCGTACAACCGTAGCGTGTTTGTACAACTGTATAACAAGGCAACTTTGCATACATCGAAACGCAAGGAAAATAATAGAATATTTGCACCTTTGGAAGTGAGCAAAGTAGTGAGTTGCAAAAAGGAATATACGGATATACGATTTATGTTATCACAGTCACAGTCCTTGATGTGTTTCAGCGCTGCCAGCACAGAACCTCGCCATCGACATGTGTATTTTTGTGTCACGTGCAACACCCGCATGTGCCCCTCTCCCCCCCTTAGCTAGACCCACCTGGTAGTCAATACAGTCCTCCCCAGACAGATATCTGTCGGGGTGGAAGATGCCGTAGATCGTACCCTGCGTTGGCGTACCGGGCCCCCCAGCGGCGGCTGCAGCGGCAGAGTCTCCGCGCTCTGTCTGCTCGCCAGCATCGATACCATCGTCAAGAGTGCCACCTGTCGAGGTCCCACCTTTGCTGGCCCGCTTCAAACGCTTCGCATCCGTAGGACCGGGTCGCACCCGTTCCATCTCCCGCAGCCTCTTCGTGGCTAGCTGTTCAGATGGCGGAGGACTGCACATAACCGAGATGGGCTTTAGGGGCGCCCCAAGCCGTTTCACCGACGGAGCTGCTGCGTAGAGGTTGTTCCCGCAGACGACGAGTCCAGACGCGCCCTGTGCCAGTTTGGCAGTTGCTAGTGCGGGTTCTGCTTCCGGCGCGCTATGTGCCTCATGCAAATTAGCACGAGGTAAACATGATTTGCTGTCCTTGGCCCCGCTGTTGAGTTGACCTGCACCATTTCCTTGATGGCTGAGCATATACTGGCCAGCCGGTTCCTCTTGCCCAGGCAGCCGTAATGTATCATTGGTGCAGTCCATGTAAGTTCTCGCGCCAGTTATATATGAATGCGCTCAGTCGAATAGGGAAGCCTGATTACGGACTGGATGCTGCTGCCGTCCAACCCTGCGAGGCCGCGCAGGCAGGACACAGCTTACACAACACTCCGAGAGTGCAGAAGGAAACCGTGAAATGTGTGTGCGTTTCAACCTGCGTCGCGAATGCAAAGCACTGTGCTGGGCCGGATGAGCACATTGCAACCTATCTAGTTCTTAAATGTAAGAAGGTTAAATTAAAAATCCTCCAAGTTGGTAGTGAAGGGTGAAGGCCATAAGGACGAACAAACCGTCGCAAGCGTGTTACAAGTGCGTTTGCATGCTTTGCACCTTAAATTGTTGCCTCAAGGACACAATAGATGTTGTGATTTAGCCTTCGTATGCATGCATGGCAAGGTCTTCAGCATGTGAAACACGGCGCGTCTGAAACACGGTAGCCGCAAGTGGCGCCGATTTAACAGAAGTTCGCAATTATTGTACGTATGAGACAAAGCAATATTGCAGGATGAACGAAGTGCTTCTTCCATCATAGGCGCAAGAGGACAGATCGACTCACCAACAGACTAGAAGCGTATTCGCGCCTGTTATCTCAAACAATTTGCCGTGCAGTGTAGTAATGCCGGTTGTGAGGTCGACGCCCTCCATGACTGCTTTCGATAGCTCGCCGCTTTTGCTTCCGCGCTTGTGTACGTGACAGAAGGCCCAACCCCCAGTAAATAAAGATTGCAGCCTTACAACGTGATCTAACCTATTGTACCGCCACGTTACGACCGACGCTATGGAGTAAAGATTGCTCAGGTTCCATTACGAAATACGGCAGAACCCCAGCTCTATCGCAGCACTCGTGCCACATTGTCCCTGATCTCTCGTTTCATCACATGATATCGTATGATATCACAGGTTGTATACCCTCCAGTATGCTTTGTGTAGGAGCTTGTTGGATCCTATGTTCTAACCATCGTTTCGTTCCCAGCTCTGCAACACACAAAGCCATCCATGATTTATCATGCTATCCAGTCATTGCACGCGCCTGTAACACGCTCCTGTACATCTCAGTTTCTAGTATCCCAGCCGCCCTGGCTTGCATAAATGGCCTGCCTGCTCCCTGGCGCTTATGATCTGAACGTCAATATCAAGTCAAACGCTTAGGAATGGTGTCTATTTGATGTACTGGGAAAATGAGACGATTGGGGAGATATTTTGTAGAGTGAAGTTACGCCACGACGCAAGGTATATGGTTATGGCGCCGCGCAATATTTAACACTTTTGCTGTATTACATCGGTTTCTTATAGTCCAGCTGGCCTGCCGCACTTTTCAATGCAATTTTTTCGTACTAGTGCCTTATCAGGGCTATGTTTAACATCCCACCTGTGCAAAGTACAGAATGCCCTGTCTCTGTAAGTTGTAGCTTAAGTAAAGCCCCCGTCCAGCGCGTTTAACAAACGCTGTGGCAGTCCTCATTTTCCTTGAAAAGTTTGTGACGGTTAAATAGGTGGCGGTTGATGGCAGCATCCGTCGGCCGAGGATTGTGAACCTACTGCTTACTCTATGCTTTGGAGAAACCTTACCGGTGGTGCTGAAATGGCCCATCAGCTTATCACACACCCTCGCAAGCGGAATACAGAAATACACGTGTTTATCAGTTGACCGGCATGCGACGCGCCCGTAATCCTGGAGATCACAACACAACAGTTCTTTGCCTGCTATGTGAGTGTGTGGTTGCTACAGTGGGCTCTAGACTCACGAAGAGTAGAGCCAGCGGACCAGCTGGCCGTGCACTGCACTAGAGACTAATATACAAACTAGACTATCATCCCAATGAGACAACGCAAGTCAATTAGACAGCCAACAAGTCGGGTGTCGGCTTGCTCGCCGGAAAACAAGCCGGAAAAAGGGCGGGGCCCCTGCATCCGTACAGGCCGGTAGCTACGGCGGCACGTATGTGACAATTGACGGGTGGTGTCAACGTAGTGGGAGGTGTGCTTGTTGCAGCAGTGCTGATGCTGTGGGAGCCATGCTTGCACCGGCGGAATCATCAGCACCGCCTGCGGGCGCCACGCAATTCGCGTCCATCCCGGGTGCATGCCGCATGGACAGTTGGTGACAGATGGTGGGATCGTAGTCTTCACCATGCGAGTCTGTCTTGCAATGGGTCACCGTCCTGTTCAGTGCCATTGGGCTGTGGACAACAAAGAAGCTTCATGCGATGCGGGTTGCACCTGCCCGGATCCTTGATGCCTAGCTGTCTCGTCATACCTTGTGAGCCAGCCCACAGACGGATTGCTCACACTTGCGGGCTTTCCTTGCACCGCCCCAAACACCCCGGCCACAGCACACTGGGCACCTCGTTTTATGGTTCAGATACCTGAGGAAGTGCTGTCCGTCTGCGTACTCGAGCTGTTTCCCTTCCTTACGACGCTCAGGCCAGCGGTTGCAGAAGTTGAGAAGCGCAAGGTCACAGGGTGCAATGCTCGCTTGTCTGTGCCGTACCATTTGCAGTTCCTGGAGTTTGCAGCTCGGTGTGCAGCCCAGGACGCATTGGAGCTTGCAAACACCTGCCCTAACAACCGTTTAGTCCTCTGCTTACAGAAG